CTTGAGATGGTTCGTCGAATTGGATGACGCCATAAGGGCGCGTCGCATCGACGACGGGGATATGCAAGTTGCATTTGCCCAGTCAAATCTGGCAGGACGTGCCAAGACTTGGGCACTGGGGCTCGAGCTGCACGACCCATACGCGTTTGGGTCGTTGGAAGTCTTCAAGTCGCGGCTCAGACAAACGTTTGAACTGCCTAGAGCTGAGTTCAGAGCTCGAACCGAACTCTTGAAGCTCAAGCAGGGTAAGCGTGATGTGCACGCTTACGCTCAACATATACGACATCTCACGAGTTGTATAAGTTCCAATCCGGTGGATGAACACACGTTGGTTTCGGTGTTCATGCAGGGTCTTGCGGATGGTCCCGTCAAGACTCACCTGTTCCGGCTTGAACTAGATTCACTAGAACAAGCCATTTCAATTGCGGAGCAGGAAGACTTCAGTCTGAGACAGGCTCGCGCCAGCTCGACATCATATCGTCAACCGAGACGATATGACAACGGAGGTCCAGAGCCGATGGAACTCTGTTATGTAGAGAGCGAGAAGGCTCGCTCTACAGGCTACAAGAAGTTGCAGAGATGCAACAGATGTCAAAAGACAGGACACTACGCTTACGAGTGAGTGTAGTGCCTCGTCCAGTGTCTCGCGACACTGGGCGTAGTGACCGTCCACCCATGAGAAAGGGGCAGGGACGAGGGTCCGCAGTTGGTGCAAAGACGCAACAACGGGATGGACCGTCAAAAACGGACAGGATCAGTAGGTGCGGAGCACCCTACTGATCCAGCAACGTCAAGAGAATTTGTAGGCCTCTTGATGAAGGTTGCTCCCAACACACAGACATTGTGCGTTGCTGCTCTAGGTAATGAGATCTCACTCATTACTTGAAACTCGAAGTGACGAATAAGTTGTCCCTTCGAGCTCTAGTCGATTGTGGGGCGTCCAACAATTTTGTGCGACGCCAATCGCTAGAAGATGGTCACTTTAAATTCAGTGAATGTGACACACCTCCTACGAGGATGACGGTACGTCTTGCGACAGGCGCATCCGTAATCAATATGAAGCGTATAGTGAAGATTCACTATACGCTAGAAGATACCCAATACGACGATGACTTTATCGTATTGGATTTGGATGACAAATTTGATGTCATCCTGGAATACCGTGGCTCAGAAGGTACGAACCACGGGTAAACTGGCAACATCGGACAGTAACGATGCCTCGCCGCTTGTTCATCAGATGGCCATCTGATGAACGTTTTGGAGCGTCCACAAGCGTGTGGATGTACTACGAGTGAGTGCGATGGCCTCACTTGTGGTACGGTCGTTAGTACGACTGCACAAAACCTTAGTGTACCAAACGGTTACACTTCGGAGCAAAGTTCCGGCGGCTGTGAGGAAACACAGGCTGCGCCGAAGGTCCACCACTCGAATAAGTCGGGTGGATCGGGGACAAAGATGTATCCCTAGAGGGGAACATCTAGAAGAGAAACAATCGATCGCTCAGGTTAAGCGAAACGATAATCCTAGATCGACTGGAGAGTCTTTCGTAGAGGATCTCGCTGTGGTTGCGCAACCCCAGCTAGAGGAAGTAAAGGGAATAAGTCCCAAGATTACAAATACGGCGGAAATAAGTTCCCCGAAACCCGCGGGAATAAGTCCCCGGGAAGACGAAGGAATAAGTCCTTCGAAGCCTGAGGGAATAAGTCCCCAGGAAATGACAGAGACATTGAATGTCATAGTCAATAACGGATCATGTGTAGGCGCTTATACACTTGATCTGATTGCGCCTCCGAAGTTAACTTCGGAGATCACTCAGTTGCCAACGCTCGAACATAAAAGGTTCTTGCGTGATCTGCGTAGTGGCAAAGTCAAGCAGATCTGCATACTCGTCGCTGACGACGAGTATGTAACCGACATAAGGTCAGCAACAGTGTTTACTGAGAACGAGAGAGTTCTCAGTAGTTCATCTATGGACGAGAGTGTCCTAGATGAAAAGACACGAATTGAGCGATATGAGTCCCAATCATGGGAATCGCTCAAGGAAAATCCTCTCTATGAAGATTTGGTTGAATTCAAGGATGTATTCCCTGAAACTGTTCCGTGCGAATTACCGAAGGATAAAGGTATTCGACACGAAGTCGAGCTTAAACCAGGCTCGAAGTACTGTGTCATGAAGCAGTGGCCACTGCCTCGTGAACAGTACTTGCGATCGACAAGTTCTTTGCCGATCGTTTAGCAGCGGGCCATGTGAGGGAATCAACTTCCCCACATAGCTCTCCGACCTTCTGTGTGCGAAAAGCAACAGGAGGGTGGCGGATAGTGCACGCGTTTAACAAATTGAACGCTGCAACGGTACCGGCTCAGACGCCGATACCGAGGAAGGACGTAATCATTGATGGTATGTCAAAGAGTACCATCTTTTCGTCCATGGATTTGATGGATGGCTTCTATCAAATCCTAATGCGGGAACGGGATATACCCTATACCGCAGTTAGCACGCCTAGCGGCATGCTCTGGGAATGGCTAGTAATGCCACAAGGGCTCAGTAATGCCCCTGCCACGTTCAACAGATGTGTATCACATCTGTTGAGACCAGTACGAGAGTTCGCGCCGAGTTATTTCGATGACGTATTCATCCATAGTCGAGCTATGGATGGAAAGTCGGACGTTGAGGTTCACAGGTACCACGTCCGACAAGTTCTTACAATCATGCGAAAGCATCAATTGTATGCTAACCTCAAGAAGTGTATATTTGCAGCAAGCGAAATACCACTTCTTGGGTGCATCGTTGGTAAGAACGGTGTACGTCCTGATCCCGAAAAGATCAAGGCGATCACCGACTGGCCTGTGCCGGTCGATGTCAAAGGTCTTCGAAAATTCCTTGGGCTAGCGGCGTATTTGCATAAGTATTCACGCAATTACGCCGAGATGACTGTACACCTCTCTCGTTTGTTGAAAAAGAACGAGAGGTGGTTATGGAACGCTGAATGTCAACGCTCCTTTGAGGGTATCAAGCAGAGCTTGATACAATCCCCAGTCCTAGCAATAGCCGATCAGGACAGGCCATTTCATGTGGTCTGTGATGCCAGCGATTTCGCAATCGGCTGTGCATTAATGCAGTACGACCTTGAAGGCGTTGAACGCGTCGTCTGCTATCAGTCGCGTCAGCTGCAACCAGCTGAGCGGAACTATCCAGTGCATGACAAGGAACTCCTTGCCATGAAGTATGCACTCGCGAAGTTCAGAGTCTATCTATTAGGAGATAGACCCTTCGTTGTTTACACTGACCATGCGTCCTTACGCACGGCAGTGAACAGCCCGCACCTTTCACAACGAATGGCGCGGTGGTTGTCATTCTTTGCAGAATACAACTTTACGGTCGAGTACAAACCAGGACGACTTAATGTCGTCGCTGATGCACTCTCACGTCGTCCCGACTTTGAAACAGTCGCGAAACCCAACAGTGAGACAGTCACTGTTGCGGTTATGACGTCCTCAGTCCCATCTACAATGTTGTATGATGATGTGAGGCGGGCATACGCCCAAGATGGTGAGATAGTGAAGTTGTTGTCACATCTCTCCCAACCATCCCGAGAATCGTTGAAACGATTGTCGTTCGCGTATCGATCTGCATCAGATCGATACACTACTCGTAACGGTTTACTGTACTATACAGCCGTTTCTGGTGACACACCACGTGTTGTCATTCCAGATGATATTGATCTGCGTTTGCGGATCATGTTCGAGTATCACGATGCTCCTATAGGAGGACATCGTGGCCGAGAGAAAACATATCTCACGGTAAGTCGAGACTTTTACTGGCCCCGCCAGTATCAGTTTGTGCGAAAGTATGTTCGCGCATGCGAAGTTCGCCAACGAGTGAAGTCAAGTCCTTCACTGCGTGCACCTTTACAGCCTCTACCGGTTCCGGCTGAGTGCTGGGAATCCATCTCAATGGATTTCGTCTTCGGGTTACCCAAAGACGCACGCGGGAATACGGGTATTCTCGTATTTGTTGACAGATTCAGCAAAATGGTACACCTTGTGGCTGTACCAGAGACAATCACGGCAAGTGGCTGTGCTTGTGTCTTTATTGACACCATCTTCCGACTTCATGGGTTGCCCCGTGAACTCGTATCAGACAGAGATCCACGATTCACTGCTGATTTCTGGCGCTCCGTGTTCAAATCACTCGGAACGCGCTTGAAGATGTCGACATCTGATCATCCAGAGTCAGATGGTCAGACGGAACGTGCCAATCGTGTCCTTGAAGAGATACTTCGAGGATACGTACACTCCTTTAAGAGTTGGAGTGAGTTTTTGCCAATGGTAGAGTTTGCCATCAACAACTCGGTGCATGCGTCCACGACACATACACCGTTTTACGTGAATGGCTTGCGCCATCCGCGTGTACCCACCTTACTAGAGTGTAACTCTGGTTTAAGGGGGGAGGGACTCGCGCGAGCAAAAACCGATTTGGTTCACGCTCATCACGCTCTGACGAAGAAGTCATTGCGTTTGATGCCGATATCGATAACATCGATATCGAAGAAGATGATGCCAGTGAGAGTGCGGAAGCCCTCACTGAAGACAATGATCCCAGTGAGAGTGCGGAAGCCCTCACTGAAGAAAAGGTTGTTGTTGCTGCAGTGCGCTCACAGCACACTGAAGCTAACGAGTCATCAGATGAGTTCATACTGGCTCGTGAAACGGTAGTCCGTTTTGTGCAAGACTCCATCGCCGAAGCGGTGGATAAGCAAAAGCAAAACGCTGACAAGAATGGAAGGGCAAACACTCTTTTATTTAATAAAGGTGACTTAGTCCTATTGTTTAGGGTTAATCTACCATACTTAGCATGTCTACGGTGACTAACTTGGGTAGCAGTAAACTACTACCCAAGTACATTGGCCCATTTCGTGTATTGCACCGCCTAGGCAATGCATACACGATCGAGTTACCACGTAAGATGCGAACGCATCCCACGTTTTACGTTGGTCGGCTTAAGCCGTACCATCAGTACGCTGCTTCTTCCGATGAAGAACGCCCTTGCGCTCAAGCATCTCGCAGAGAGCCTTGTGCTCCCGATGGTGGGCATCAACAAGGGTCTGAAGAGCAGTTATCTCAGCCCGAGACCGATCAACAATCCCACGAGCTACCCTTAGCTCGTCACGAAGAGATGTCAGAGATCTCTCGTTCTCAAGCTGAGCAAAGGCAAACTCAGCTCGATGCTTCGAGGCAGTGTCCACCATCTGGAGACGCCTATTCCGCTCATGCTCGAGATCGTCGCGTAACCCTTGCGTTACGCGATCAAAGAAGCTCTCGGGAACACACCGATCCACATGATCGTGTGGAGAGCGTCTTTCCTCCTCCTCCACCTCCATTAGAGGACTCTCGCGGTGGCCAGCGCTATCTAGTAGAGCAGCTGTTGAACCACCGCGACGTGAACGGACGTCGGACGAGTTACCTCGTCCGGTGGCGCGGCTATCCCCCGTCCTGGGATTCTTGGGAGCCCCGCTCCCAATTGATGGTTGACGTACTGGGTCTGGTCGAGCAGTACGACGCGACACATCCTGTGCCGCAGAAGGACCGCCGGAGAAAGTCTTCCCGGCACGGTCGTAAAGGGATTTCAGGTTGTCAATCCCTTCGTACATCTCAGTAGAGACACGTACACGCCACCACGGGCTGGTAAGGAGGTAAGCCTCCTTAGGTGCTCGTGCAGAGTTGTTCACACAACATGGGCACGAGTCTCCCCAAGAGAGGCAGGGTAATCCTTTCTCCCTTGACAGACGATGCAGCTTGTAGCGTGCACCTGTCGGGGTTCGCTTTTCAAACTTATCACGAGCTTTGATAAGTTTGTCGTTCCAAGCGTCACGACCTACATCCTCGAGATTATGGATGTAGGCGTTCCACGCCTGAAGTAGTGAGGGACCATCACGTTTGTGATTCCCACTGTACCATCGATGTCTGAAGAAAGCATCGATGAAGAATTCATGTTCAGCGCGATAGTCTTTCGCGCTGGGGTCAAGGTGATGAATCCTTGACGAATCGAACAATCGTGTTCGATAACGATCACTCGTCGTCGCCGACAAGTGATCCATGACAGATTTAGGAGGCATCCATGCCTTCTTTTCTGGAGCGAGACGCAACACATTGCGGTCCCGCTCTTCCTGCGACGTGCCGACAGAAGTACTGGCACCTCGCTGTGAAGTGGTGTCCATAGGAGAACCGACACCACTATTAGCGCCCGAGTCTCGCGACCTCGAGTGTAACGGGGCACCCTGAAGCTTGTACTGGTGACAGTACAAGCTACTTATTCTGATAACAGAATAAGGCGGTGCCTCGTAACTTCACGTACACTCGTACGTGCAGAGGAAGACGGTAAGAAGAAGCGAGTACTCGGTTAGAGTAAAAAGTAGAACTGTATTTATAATAGTTAATGTCTGCAATAAATCACTATTTATCTTCATCTAACTATGACTAAATACAAATGTGTAAATCAGTTATCTGCTCACCACTCATTGCGTGCGTCTGTCGTGGCGCGTCTTCGTTGGTTGATATAATGGCCTATATCAACCAATTAGGAACTACTCGGAAGTGCTACAGAATATTGTCCTTATGACAATATTCTGAGAATATAACTCTTATAGTTATATTCTATTAACAATTTCTTATAAATTGTTATGTAACGATTCACCCCGTTACATCACCCCCCTTAACCATCAGTCACTTTAGTGACTGATTGACTAAATGGATACTCGTCCCAAATCATTTGGGACGGGGTTTGCACTTGTTGGTCCGCGTCCACTTTCCAACATCTCATCGCATGGTAAACAAGCCCATGCGATGCGCGAGCAAGGCCGCCGAGAGCGCGTCTGCACGTCTCTGTGCGGACGCCGAAGCAGAAACTACAGCAACTGATATCCCATCGGTTGCTGAATCGACTCAGCCTGTATCACCTGGTGATGCAGGCGCTGGTCATGAAGACACTCGTGTCTTCACAGAGTACGAGCTCGGTGTCTCGTACTCTCCTGATACGGATGACGGATCCGTATCGACGGCAATTGAATCCAAGCCGCCTGCCAAGCGTGGCATGGACGATGCTTTGCGTCGCAGCATCTTTGGTTCATCTGATGAGTCAGATGAACCATCGCCGAAGCGAAGGCGCTCGAGGTCGCGAGACTCGGGCGCTAATAGTGGTGTCGGTTCTCCTATGGACACCACTTCACAGCGAGGTGCCAGTACTTCTGTCGGCACGTCGCAGGAAGAGCGGGACCGCAATGTGTTGCGTCTCGCTCCAGAAAAGAAGGCATGGATGCCTCCTAAATCCGTCATGGATCACTTGTCGGCGACGACGAGTGATCGTTATCGAACACGATTGTTCGATTCGTCAAGGATCCATCACCTTGACCCCAGCGCGAAAGACTATCGCGCTGAACATGAGTTCTTCATCGATGCTTTCTTCAGACATCGATGGTACAGTGGGAATCACAAACGTGATGGTCCCTCACTACTTCAGGCGTGGAACGCCTACATCCATAATCTCGAGGATGTAGGTCGTGACGCTTGGAACGACAAACTTATCAAAGCTCGTGATAAGTTTGAAAAGCGAACCCCGACAGGTGCACGCTATAAGCTGCATCGTCTGTCAAGGGAGAAAGGATTACCCTGCCTCTCTTGGGGAGACTCGTGCCCATGTTGTGTGAACAACTCTGCACGAGCACCTAAGGAGGCTTACCTCCTTACCAGCCCGTGGTGGCGCGTACGTGTCTCTACTGAGATGTACGAAGGGATTGACAACCTGAAATCCCTTTACGACCGTGCCGGGAAGACTTTCTCCGGCGGTCCTTCTGCGGCACAGGATGTGTCGCGTCGTACTGCTCGACCAGACCCAGTACGTCAACCATCAATTGGGAGCGGGGCTCCCAAGAATCCCAGGACGGGGGATAGCCGCGCCACCGGACGAGGTAACTCGTCCGACGTCCGTTCACGTCGCGGTGGTTCAACAGCTGCTCTACTAGATAGCGCTGGCCACCGCGAGAGTCCTCTAATGGAGGTGGAGGAGGAGGAAAGACGCTCTCCACACGATCATGTGGATCGGTGTGTTCCCGAGAGCTTTTTGATCGCGTAACGCAAGGGTTACGCGACGATCTCGAGCATGAGCGGAATAGGCGTCTCCAGATGGTGGACACTGCCTCGAAGCATCGAGCTGAGTTTGCCTTTGCTCAGCTTGAGAACGAGAGATCTCTGACATCTCTTCGTGACGAGCTAAGGGTAGCTCGTGGGATTGTTGATCGGTCTCGGGCTGAGATAACTGCTCTTCAGACCCTTGTTGATGCCCACCATCGGGAGCACAAGGCTCTCTGCGAGATGCTTGAGCGCAAGGGCGTTCTTCATCGGAAGAAGCAGCGTACTGATGGTACGGCTTAAGCCGACCAACGTAAAACGTGGGATGCGTTCGCATCTTACGTGGTAACTCGATCGTGTATGCATTGCCTAGGCGGTGCAATACACGAAATGGGCCAATGTACTTGGGTAGTAGTTTACTGCTACCCAAGTTAGTCACTACATGCTTTGGTAGATTAACCGTAGACAGTAGGACTAAGTCACCTTTATTAAATAAAAGAGTGTTTGCCCTTCCATTCTTGTCAGCGTTTTGCTTTTGCTTATCCACCGCTTCGGCGATGGAGTCTTGCACAAAACGGACTACCGTTTCACGAGCCAGTATGAACTCATCTGATGACTCGTTAGCTTCAGTGTGCTGTGAGCGCACTGCAGCAACAACAACCTTTTCTTCAGTGAGGGCTTCCGCACTCTCACTGGGATCATTGTCTTCAGTGAGGGCTTCCGCACTCTCACTGGCATCATCTTCTTCGATATCGATGTTATCGATATCGGCATCAAACGCAATGACTTCTTCGTCAGAGCGTGATGAGCGTGAACCAAATCGGTTTTTGCTCGCGCGAGTCCCTCCCCCCTTAAACCAGAGTTACACTCTAGTAAGGTGGGTACACGCGGATGGCGCAAGCCATTCACGTAAAACGGTGTATGTGTCGTGGACGCATGCACCGAGTTGTTGATGGCAAACTCTACCATCGGCAAAAACTCACTCCAACTCTTAAAGGAGTGTACGTATCCTCGAAGTATCTCTTCAAGGACACGATTGGCACGTTCCGTCTGACCATCTGACTCTGGATGATCAGATGTTGACATCTTCAAGCGCGTTCCGAGTGATTTGAACACGGAACGCCAGAAATCAGCAGTGAATCGTGGATCTCTGTCTGATACGAGTTCACGGGGCAACCCATGAAGTCGGAAGATGGTGTCAATAAAGACACAAGCACAGCCACTTGCCGTGATTGTCTCTGGTACAGCCACAAGGTGTACCATTTTGCTGAATCTGTCAACAAATACGAGAATACCCGTATTCCCGCGTGCGTCTTTGGGTAACCCGAAGACGAAATCCATTGAGATGGATTCCCAGCACTCAGCCGGAACCGGTAGAGGCTGTAAAGGTGCACGCAGTGAAGGACTTGACTTCACTCGTTGGCAGACTTCGCATGCGCGAACATACTTTCGCACAAACTGATACTGGCGGGGCCAGTAAAAGTCTCGACTTACCGTGAGATATGTTTTCTCTCGGCCACGATGTCCTCCTATAGGAGCATCGTGATACTCGAACATGATCCGCAAACGCAGATCAGTATCATCTGGAATGACAACACGTGGTGTGTCACCAGAAACGGCTGTATAGTACAGTAAACCGTTATGAGTAGTGTATCGATCTGATGCAGATCGATACGCAGACGACAATCGTTTCAACGATTCTCGAGATGGTTGGGAGAGATGTGACAACAACTTCACTATCTCACCATCTTGGGCGTATGCCCGCCTCACATCATCATACAACATTGTAGATGGGACTGAGGACGTCATAACCGCAACAGTGACTGTCTCACTGTTGGGTTTCGCGACTGTTTCAAAGTCGGGACGACGTGAGAGTGCATCAGCGACGACATTAAGTCGTCCTGGTTTGTACTCGACCGTAAAGTTGTATTCTGCAAAGAATGACAACCACCGCGCCATTCGTTGTGAAAGGTGCGGGCTGTTCACTGCCGTGCGTAAGGACGCATGGTCAGTGTAAACAACGAAGGGTCTATCTCCTAATAGATAGACTCTGAACTTCGCGAGTGCATACTTCATGGCAAGGAGTTCCTTGTCATGCACTGGATAGTTCCGCTCAGCTGGTTGCAGCTGACGCGACTGATAGCAGACGACGCGTTCAACGCCTTCAAGGTCGTACTGCATTAATGCACAGCCGATTGCGAAATCGCTGGCATCACAGACCACATGAAATGGCCTGTCCTGATCGGCTATTGCTAGGACTGGGGATTGTATCAAGCTCTGCTTGATACCCTCAAAGGAGCGTTGACATTCAGCGTTCCATAACCACCTCTCGTTCTTTTTCAACAAACGAGAGAGGTGTACAGTCATCTCGGCGTAATTGCGTGAATACTTATGCAAATACGCCGCTAGCCTAAGGAATTTTCGAAGACCTTTGACATCGACCGGCACAGGCCAGTCGGTGATCGCCTTGATCTTTTCGGGATCAGGACGTACACCGTTCTTACCAACGATGCACCCAAGAAGTGGTATTTCGCTTGCTGCAAATATACACTTCTTGAGGTTAGCATACAATTGATGCTTTCGCATGATTGTAAGAACTTGTCGGACGTGGTACCTGTGAACCTCAACGTCCGACTTTCCATCCATAGCTCGACTATGGATGAATACGTCATCGAAATAACTCGGCGCGAACTCTCGTACTGGTCTCAACAGATGTGATACACATCTGTTGAACGTGGCAGGGGCATTACTGAGCCCTTGTGGCATTACTAGCCATTCCCAGAGCATGCCGCTAGGCGTGCTAACTGCGGTATAGGGTATATCCCGTTCCCGCATTAGGATTTGATAGAAGCCATCCATCAAATCCATGGACGAAAAGATGGTACTCTTTGACATACCATCAATGATTACGTCCTTCCTTGGTATCGGCGTCTGAGCCGGTACCGTTGCAGCGTTCAATTTGTTAAACGCGTGCACTATCCGCCACCCTCCTGTTGCTTTTCGCACACAGAAGGTCGGAGAGCTATGTGGGGAAGTTGATTCCCTCACATGGCCCGCTGCTAAACGATCGGCAAAGAACTTGTCGATCGCAAGTACTTGTTCACGAGGCAGTGGCCACTGCTTCATGACACAGTACTTCGAGCCTGGTTTAAGCTCGACTTCGTGTCGAATACCTTTATCCTTCGGTAATTCGCACGGAACAGTTTCAGGGAATACATCCTTGAATTCAACCAAATCTTCATAGAGAGGATTTTCCTTGAGCGATTCCCATGATTGGGACTCATATCGCTCAATTCGTGTCTTTTCATCTAGGACACTCTCGTCCATAGATGAACTACTGAGAACTCTCTCGTTCTCAGTAAACACTGTTGCTGACCTTATGTCGGTTACATACTCGTCGTCAGCGACGAGTATGCAGATCTGCTTGACTTTGCCACTACGCAGATCACGCAAGAACCTTTTATGTTCGAGCGTTGGCAACTGAGTGATCTCCGAAGTTAACTTCGGAGGCGCAATCAGATCAAGTGTATAAGCGCCTACACATGATCCGTTATTGACTATGACATTCAATGTCTCTGTCATTTCCTGGGGACTTATTCCCTCAGGCTTCGAAGGACTTATTCCTTCGTCTTCCCGGGGACTTATTCCCGCGGGTTTCGGGGAACTTATTTCCGCCGTATTTGTAATCTTGGGACTTATTCCCTTTACTTCCTCTAGCTGGGGTTGCGCAACCACAGCGAGATCCTCTACGAAAGACTCTCCAGTCGATCTAGGATTATCGTTTCGCTTAACCTGAGCGATCGATTGTTTCTCTTCTAGATGTTCCCCTCTAGGGATACATCTTTGTCCCAGTCCACCCGACTTATTCGAGTGGTGGACCTTCGGCGCAGCCTGTGTTTCCTCACAGCCGCCGGAACTTGGCTCCGAAGTGTAACCGTTTGGTACACTAAGGTTTTGTGCAGTCGTACTAACGACCGTACCACAAGTGAGGCCATCGCACTCACTCGTAGTACATCCACACGCTTGTGGACGCTCCAAAACGTTCATCAGATGGCCATCTGATGAACAAGCGGCAGGCATCGTTACTGTCCGATGTTGCCAGTTTACCCGTGGTTCGTACCTTCTGAGCCACGGTATTCCAAGGATGACATCAAATTTGTCATCCAAATCCAATACGATAAAGTCATCGTCGTATTGGGTATCTTCTAGCGTATAGTGAATCTTCACTATACGCTTCATGACGGTTACGGATGCGCCTGTCGCAAGACGTACCGTCATCCTCGTAGGAGGTGTGTCACATTCACTGAATTTAAAGTGACCATCTTCTAGCGATTGGCGTCGCACAAAATTGTTGGACGCCCCACAATCGACTAGAGCTCGAAGGGACAACTTATTCGTCACTTCGAGTTTCAAGGTAATGAGTGAGATCTCATTACCTAGAGCAGCAACGCACAATGTCTGTGTGTTGGGAGCAACCTTCATCAAGAGGCCTACAAATTCTCTTGACGTTGCTGGATCAGTAGGGTGCTCCGCACCTACTGATCCTGTCCGTTTTTTGACGGTCCATCCCGTTGTTGCGTCTTTGCACCAACTGCGGACCCTCGTCCCTGCCCCTTTCTCATGGGTGGACGGTCACTACGCCCAGTGTCGCGAGACACTGGACGAGGGGCACTACACTCGTAAGCGTAGTGTCCTGTCTTTTGACATCTGTTGCATCTCTGCAACTTCTTGTAGCCTGTAGAGCGAGCCTTCTCGCTCTCTACATAACAGAGTTCCATCGGCTCTGGACCTCCGTTGTCATATCGTCTCGGTTGACGATATGATGTCGAGCTGGCGCGAGCCTGTCTCAGACTGAAGTCTTCCTGCTCCGCAATTGAAATGGCTTGTTCTAGTGAATCTAGTTCAAGCCGGAACAGGTGAGTCTTGACGGGACCATCCGCAAGACCCTGCATGAACACCGAAACCAACGTGTGTTCATCCACCGGATTGGAACTTATACAACTCGTGAGATGTCGTATATGTTGAGCGTAAGCGTGCACATCACGCTTACCCTGCTTGAGCTTCAAGAGTTCGGTTCGAGCTCTGAACTCAGCTCTAGGCGGTTCAAACGTTTGTCTGAGCCGCGACTTGAAGACTTCCAACGACCCAAACGCGTATGGGTCGTGCAGCTTGAGCCCCAGTGCCCAAGTCTTGGCACGTCCTGCCAGATTTGACTGGGCAAATGCAACTTGCATATCCCCGTCGTCGATGCGACGCGCCCTTATGGCGTCATCCAATTCGACGAACCATCTCAAGAGGGAGTCTTCTTCGACCCCCCTATACTTTGAGATGTCAATCTTCAAAGTCTCGGGCCGACGCGAGTGCATCGACCCGCCAGCAGCAGCCTGCTGCTGTCTCAACAGTTCAAACTGTTGAGCACCCTGTTCTCTCAACAACTCTGCTTGTTGAGAACCTTGTTGGTGAAGCAAGGCTACTTTCTCGCGTTCTGCGTCAAGTTCATTTTGAATGAACTTGGCGATAGTAGCATGTTGGGCATCTCTATTGAGAGCCTCTAGCATGACGCTAACAGCATGGATGCCCATGGTCGAACCCATTCGTTCAACCGCATCCCATTCGACATCGCTCAAATGGGAGTAGCCGTCACGCGTAGCGTGAAAGCTTTGGTCATCTTCATCATCCAACATATTCATGTTGGATGTGAACGCGGTCCTTGGACGGACCAACAAGTGCTACCAGGTGTAACGGGGCACCCTGAAGCTTGTACTGGTGACAGTACAAGCTACTTATTCTGATAACAGAATAAGGCGGTGCCTCGTAACTTCACGTACACTCGTACGTGCAGAGGAAGACGGTAAGAAGAAGCGAGTACTCGGTTAGAGTAAAAAGTAGAACTGTATTTATAATAGTTAATGTCTGCAATAAATCACTATTTATCTTCATCTAACTATGACTAAATACAAATGTGTAAATCAGTTATCTGCTCACCACTCATTGCGTGCGTCTGTCGTGGCGCGTCTTCGTTGGTTGATATAATGGCCTATATCAACCAATTAGGAACTACTCGGAAGTGCTACAGAATATTGTCCTTATGACAATATTCTGAGAATATAACTCTTATAGTTATATTCTATTAACAATTTCTTATAAATTGTTATGTAACGATTCACCCCGTTACATCGAGCGCCTTCGCTTCGGCGATGGTTCATCTGACTCATCAGATGAACCAAAGATGCTGCGACGCAAAGCATCGTCCATGCCACGCTTGGCAGGCGGCTTGGATTCAATTGCCGTCGATACGGATCCGTCATCCGTATCAGGAGAGTACGAGACACCGAGCTCGTACTCTGTGAAGACACGAGTGTCTTCATGACCAGCGCCTGCATCACCAGGTGATACAGGCTGAGTCGATTCAGCAACCGATGGGACATCAGTTGCTGTAGTTTCTGCTTCGGCGTCCGCACAGAGACGTGCAGACGCGCTCTCGGCGGCCTTGCTCGCGCATCGCATGGGCTTGTTTACCATGCGATGAGATGTTGGAAAGTGGACGCGGACCAACAAGTGCAAACCCCGTCCCAAATGATTTGGGACGAGTATCCATTTAGTCAATCAGTCACTAAAGTGACTGATGGTTAAGGGGGGTGATGTAACGGGGTGAATCGTTACATAACAATTTATAAGAAATTGTTAATAGAATATAACTATAAGAGTTATATTCTCAGAATATTGTCATAAGGACAATATTCGGTAGCACTTCCAAGTAGTTCCTAATTGGTTGATATAGGCCATTATATCAACCAACGAAGACGCGCCACGACAGACGCACGCAATGAGTGGTGAGCAGATAACTGATTTACACATTTGTATTTAGACATAGTTAGATGAAGATAAATAGTGATTTATTGCAGACATTAACTATTATAAATACAGTTCTACTTTTTACTCTAACCGAGTACTCGCTTCTTCTTACCGTCTTCCTCTGCACGTACGAGTGTACGTGAAGTTACGAGGCACCGCCTTATTCTGTTATCAGAATAAGTAGCTTGTACTGTCACCAGTACAAGCTTCAGGGTGCCCCGTTACAAACGTGGTCCATCCGCTTCACACTGGGGTCCATGAGCTGCTGCTAAAACTCTAGGCGCGATACGCGTCAGGGCGCTTGTCGACAGCATCGTGATTTAAATAGTTACAGCGTGTCACTTCGCAGCTAAGGTGCGTGACCAGAGGTAAGTGGTGACCCTGGGTGTCGAATCCCTCGGTCCTTTTGCCACCACCATGCCGACATGTTGTGCGCGTCGGGTATTTCTCCCTCAAAGGAAGCCGCGGTGCCCAGATTCGCAAGTTAAGCCGCGACGTGCGCAGATAGAGTACGAATCAAGCAAGCCGCAAAGTACGGTTTGCCTTCGTGACGTATGCCGCAACACTAGCATGTAGAGATTAATGCAAAAGATGGCTCGGTGAAGTGCGAAATAGACTGTAACAAACTTGCTGGTCATGCCACGAATACGACATCTTTACATCGCTTATTACGCTCGGAAGCTTGGAAGGACAGTCCTTTAGGGCGGCATGTCATGTGGATAAAAGGCATGCCCACATAACCAAGAACAATGGACTCTCTACTTTCTGTATCCTGTTGACACATCCAGCGAGTATCATCCGTGTCTTTATACTGTTTTTCCGTCTACATCTGCGATACCGCCTCTGTCTGTACCCAAACTCTCACTCTCTTAGTAGTAATATTCACTCGGAGTCAGGACGAAACCCATTTCTACCGCGTCACAACCGTCTGTCTCCCCATCCCGTAACACCGGCTTGACCCACACGCACTACTACACGCGTCGCCGAGCCTCAACCGATTTAAGAAACGTTTCTAACGAGGTTTTCTCGTCACGCGCGCTCTCGACCATCGGCCTCTGAGCAGGAGCAGGACCATGGACATGCGCCGCGCCTACACGTACGCCGCCCGTCCCGTCTCCACCACGCACCTCCACCCTCTCTCTCTCACGCTCTCTCTCTCGTGTGTATGTTGTGTGTACACCCCAGGGACCTCGTGACGCTGGACAAGCAGCTGCGGGAGCTACTGCGAGCCAATCCGCTGAACGCTCAGGACGCGAACGCTCTGCGGCGTCAGCTCATTGACGCCGTCGTGCGACTTGCAGACACCTACCCCTTGTTCGCCGCTGAAAAAGAGGTGGAACTTGCGCTGTGGAAACCGTGTTTCTATCGCCGGATCGAAGACTTTCGTCGCCGGATCCGCAAGTACGCGGCAGCTGCTCAGACCGAGCGCACTGTGCGGGAACACTTTGACCGCGTGTCGACCGAGTTTCAGCTCTTCTTGACCGAAGCTGCGAGTGTCTACACGCACTTGAGAGACGTGTTTGCAACGTGGCTGCAGCGGGCTCGACAAGGAGCAGCTGTGGCAACGGACAGCAGTGATGCTGCACGCTGTCGCCAGAGCTTGCACCGCTGCTACGTGTTTCTAGGAGACTTGGCGCGCTACCAGGAGCTACACAGTCAACGAGCTAAAAAGAACTTTACTGCGGCGGGCGCGCTGTATTATCGTGCGTTGGCAGTCATGCCGGAGAATGGAAACCCGCACAATCAGTTGGCAGTGCTAGCGACGTATGTCGAGGCAGAGACAGTGGCAGTGTATCGCTATTGCCGGAGTCTGTTGACGCTGCACCCGTTTACGACAGCAGAAGAGAATCTAGCACTGCTGTTTGAACGCAGTCGTCATCGTCCGCTCGCTGCGCCCATGAAGTTTACGACATTGTCGCTGTCGTCGAAGGAAAAGTCAGCGTTGTTGAAAAGCTACCTACACCGTCTCACACGAATGCACGGTATCTTGTTCGCGCTATCGTCGCCACGTGGATCTCACATCGCGCCGCCGAGCAGTAGTGAGGGGACAGTGCCAACGTATCCGCGCGACATGGAAGCTGTGCTTTTTAAGGACTTGCGGACGTTGCTGCACGCAGGTGTGGTGGGAGACTCATTGCTGTTGAAGATCGTGGTGACGAACATGTTTTGCATGATCCGCGCGGCGGACTCGCGCTCGCCATCTTCGCCCATTCGAGATGCGCTTCGTCTGTCTGTTCGAACAATGTCCTGTGTCATGGAGTTTGTTTTGGAAACCTTGGACATGAAGTCGAAAGCAGGGACAAGTAGCAAGAGTCTGAAGGATTCGGCGTTTTCCGCACTGCGATTCTTAGGTCCTGTGGCTGTGTTTTGTCAATACCTAGGGCTACATCCAGATATGTTGGTGCAACTGGAGCAGCTTTTGGTGCATCGTGAGAAGAAACTATACAGCGATGTGGCAACGAGTGAACAAGGAACAGGCGCGGACCAGTTCTTTTCCGTCTTTCTTGAAACATTGGCCAAACTTGTGAACCATGCACGCATGCGTGAGTTGTATACTCCGCTGCTGTCGGACGCCGATCAGCTAAATGGAGGTATGCCGTTTGCTGTGTGTAAACAAGAACATTTGCTGAAGGAAAGCCTCGAGCTTCGAGGGTTTACACCGCTTGAGACAGAAGGTGCTTCGTCAATGTGGCAGGATGACGTCGTGCTGCAGACGTCAGCTACTGAAGCAAACAGCGTATCGCAATCGACGCCTTTGTCGGACGACGAGGCTGCAAAATTTCGTGCACGGAGATTGTACAACTTTGCGCAATATTTGTGCAATGGCTACAAGGGAGATCCGCTGCTTTTCTTTAGTGCGTCGGGACAATTCACGACATCGCCATTGGTCAGGGATGGGAATCCCTTGCATGCTAATGGGATGTCTGACGCACTAGCTTCGCTAGATCTCGGGCATTTTTCGGTCGGGACTATTCAGCAGCAGCAATCGCAACCACAGGGAACCATTGGCAGCAGTTATGAGAATGACACTGGCGTTGATGAAGACGACGACTTTGATGACGAGGTGATTGTGTTCAGACCGTCGGCAGCTTTTGGAGCGATGGCAAATGACCAGTCGACGAAGCCACTCGGCGGGTTTGTAAGCACTGCACCTCTTTTGGATGCGTCATCTGGTGGCGACGCTTTCAGCCTTCGGTCGCCGAGCCCAATCTCGTCAGCAGATGATCGGGAAAGCACTAGCAGCCAGAGCAGCGCGTTCGGCACTGGCAAACGTTCGTTCGGTTTGTCCATTGGGTACCCTAGCTTTAACACCTTTAATGGTGAAGGTAGCTTACCAGGCGGACCTCTCGTGCCAGGGTGGGAAAACAGTGCCGGCAATAGCAGCATGAAGGGCAATGATACTGTACTGAGAAACAGTCGTGATGTTCCTCTGGGCATGCCGACTGGTGACAACAACGGACTGCGCGATGTAAGTATGATGCCATCCGTTACTTCAGGTGTAAGTGGTGGTGCACAGGGACTTGGATTGAGCAGCCATTTTACCAGGAGTCAGGCCTTTGTCCCTATGGCCGATTTGGCAGCTGTGGAGCGTGAGGCTACGTTATACCAGCAAAGGGCATCAAGCTTGAGTTCATTTTTAAGCGTCCCGACACCTGCGAGCAAGAAGGAGTCACCAAGTCCGTCGTCGTCTCCGTGGGTTGCCGCTCGCCCGCCTCCAGGTTTTGCTACCGCTTCGATGGAAGATCAGCAGCAGCGTTTGCCCAACTCGTTTTTCAACCCGTAAAAGGTCCTGAATGCTGACAGTTCGGTTGATGACGCCGGACGTACTCTGGACCATCCCGTGATACCGAGAAGAAGACGGGAAAGCGTGTGTGCTATCAAGCAAAAGGAGGTGCACAGCTGAGCTGCACGAAATGGTGGCCAACTCGTTGAAGGGTACGAGCAGCCAAAAAGGTATGCGCTTGTATCGAGCACATCCCTGTTTCCAGCCCCTGCACGGTCGAAGGGCCGCTGATCGGTCCATTAGTCAATGGATCCCTCGGCAAGAGAGTCAAAATGAAGTCGACCGAGCATCCAGCACCGCTTTATTCCCAGCAAGTTGTCGCAGAAACCCCATGGCGTGCTACGGCTTGACGACTCGATTCGTCTACAGTGAAGAGGCTTTGAAGTAGCACCGAATCGCAGTCGAGTGCAGCTCTTGTCGTCGCTTTTCCCAAACCTCTTTTTGAACAAAGTGTTTTTTTTTCACCGCTGAAAACAATTCCATCGAGCACCGATCCATTCATTATCCAATGGGGGCCGCTTCGAGCAAATCGGCGGCGACGGCGGCAGCAGCGACTTCGTTCGTCGCGCAGAACCGCGTGATCCGCAGCAACTTGACGCTGGCGCAAGTCGTCGCTCTCTCACGCAGTTTACAGTCCAATACCGGTTCTTCCTCAACGCGTGACTCGCCAATTGGCTCCAACCGGGAGCTCCTCGAGATGCCTCACGACCTGCGGAAGCACGTGGAACAGGCCCCTCCCGACTACGACCGCGTCCAGTTTCTCGAGGAGAACACGCGCGCGTTCGAAGCCACGGCCAGCGGCCACCGCCCGCGCTCGTCGCAGCCGATTCGTCTTCCGACGGATAAAACGAACGCCGCGTCTTCCACAGGAGCTGGTGGCAATGACGAAGCTCCGGTGCAAGGGCGACTCACGGCGCGAGACTTGCGGACGTTATTGCGACTTTATTATGCCACCCCCGAGAGCTGGACGCCTGATGTCTTGGCAGAGAAATACGGTCTCGATGTTGTGACGATGCGCGGCATTCTCGATAGCGTCGGACCGCCCAATGTTTTGCCACCGAGAGGCACGTCCGACCATCCACTGGGCGTGTGGTTTGACGCTCCCGGGATGCTTCCAGCGCACGGGATATCGCAGTAAAGCCAGCAAATGAAGCTGTTCAAACGCGAATAATAACAACTGCGGTAAGTGTAAAAGCAGCTTTAAGTCGGCGTTTGATGCAGCCATTTTTTATTTTGATGATATTTTGATAAAAAAAGGGGGTAATAGTAGTGAAGGACGTATTTTAGAGATAGCGCGCGACCAGGTCCGTAAGTCGGTGACATAGACAGTACGGAGCGTGAATAGCGCAACATGCGTCCGGATAACGCACTTTAATTCCAGGTGTAGGCTCGACAACCAAAGAAACAAATGGCTGGAAGTGAGGCAGTCAAGTCTTCTCCGCCACTGGCCATGGCGGCCTCACCGACAGAAGAGGAAGTCGCCAGTATGCACCGCTTCATCGAGAACGCGCTGGATCTGCTCGTCAAGGTACCGCGTCTTGTCCTCTGCCCTCTACTCCACGCAATGGCTGATTAACTAACAACAACTGATCTATTAACCTATTGACCTCCCCTATTCACCTTTAGGGCAATGCCAAGAGCTACCAGTACTTGATCCAGCAGCTAACGATTGTTCCAGCGCCTGTAACTACTCGACGCAAGATCTTTCGTGCGCTGCCACGCTGTATCTCGACAATGGCACGAGAGCCGAGAGCCTATCGAGTGCTGCTGGACGTTCTGTTCAAGTTTGACCTGCTGGGAAGCGGAGACATGCACGAAGTCGAGGACTATACGACCTTTATCGTTCATCTGGTGTCCTCCAATACAGTGTACGTGGTACCGACGCTCCACATGCTCGTGCGCAACATGCGTCGACCGCAAGGCAAAGAGCTAACGCCGGAACTGCAAGCTCTCGCCCAGAAGGAGCAGAAAAATCAGCTGGGAGCCAAGAAAATTGCTGTTGCTGATGGAATCGCTATGAAAGGGTCTGTCGGGGATATGACGACGCCGGCGACCGTGTGTGCAGCCCCCGAGAGCACGTGTCTGATTGTAAATGAACGCATCCAAGCACGATTTGAAACAGCACACCACCTGCTCAAGCATGTGCTCAAACTGGCGCCCACAGCGTCTAATGTACTCTTCCGTGTCTTGTGCGAGCACTTTCCACACAAACGACTGGACGCATCTGCACAAGTAGCTTATTTACGAAATATGCTGCGTGTGACAGAGTATGTTAGCGGGCTACGCGAGCGTGTACTTGGACTGGTGATTGATCAGCTCGTGGCGATTGATGTGGAGATTAAGTTGGATGACAGCGAAGAGGACGTATTTACGATGGATGATTTTCTCGACGACGATATGCTGCCGCCTGACGATGCTTCGCGCCAAGTGGATGAAATGGCAGACAAGCTCGATCAGATGATGGTTGTAATGTTTGAGCACATTGAGCAGTCTGCTGCATCTCTAGCCCCCACGTTGACGTCGCCTGAAGCGACAGGTCTCACGAGTGCTAGCAATGGTGAAAAAGACGTGGATGTGCGCCAAGCCGCGCTAGTTTTCAAGTACCTTCTGAAGGTGTTCGAGCATTCCATCTTGAACACTCATCGGTCAAAATATCCACAGTTCCTGCTCTTTTACGTGTGCCGCATGGACCCACAATTCCAAGACGTTTTCATCTCTCAACTCTTGGCCTCGTCGCTGGATCCACAGATACCGCCTATCACACGCCAGAGTTGTGGCGCCTATCTGGCTAGTTTTCTCGCTCGTGCCAAGTATATTTCCGTCGCGTATCTTCAGAAAGCTCTGTACCACTTGTGCAAATGGCTACATGACCAGATGGACATATACGATGCAAAGCACGTGGAGGAGCAGGATGAGGAAGGAAATGGGATGGATGATAATGCTCCTGAGAAAGCGAAAGATGTGCTGGAGGAGAGCGAGGAAATGGGGAACGCCGGGCAGCGCGTCTTTCAAGAGAGTATCTATATCTCCTCGCTGCAGACTGCGTGCTATATGATTTGCTTCAGAGGATTGGAGATTGCCACTAGCGAAGACGGTGACGGCTACGAATTTCTGCGCAGCCTTGGCTGGGAGCGACTGATCGTCACAAGCAGTGGATATTGTCCATTGGCGTACTGCCAGCAGACGGTGGCCACGGAGTTTTTGAATCTGGTGGAGGCTTTTGACTTAGTCTCGGAGGAGTGTCTTGCGCGTGTCGATCAAACTATCGGCGCAGTCTCTGCGACAAGCAGGGAGACCACCAAGTCGATGGAGCGTCTTAAGAAGCCCACAGCGGGGTCAGCTCCTGCTTCTATTGTGCTGGGTCAACGCCAGCCTCTTGAGACTTTTTTCCCGTTCGACCCGTACCTCTTGCGCCGATCTTTTCGATTTGTTGGCCCGTTGTACCTATACTGGAAGCACGCTGATCCAACGTCGAGCGAAAATGGCGAGTTGTTGGAGTCTGTAAAGGCTACTGTCCGGCAAATGCAGCAGGATGTAGAGGAGGAAGATGATGACAGCGGAGTGGAAGAAAATCTGGTAGACGAAGACGTGAGCATGGCTGGAAGCGCACCCAACCCGCTGGATCTATCAGATGCATCTTATTGCGCTGATAGCTACATGGGCAGTCTCCATCGGTCTCGCAATATGTCGATGAATTCGTCCAATGAAGATGAGGGCTTTGTCGATGAGGACCTCGCACCTGCCAAACGCATACTGCCGTCCCGCACAATGTTTGACCCGTCTCCAGCTCTTTCGGCTAGCTCACCTCCATCAAGACTTCCCCCGCTAGGGTCAACTGATGCTTTCACACTTTGCGGTTTCGATAATGACGATGAGGATAACGGATTCTAGACCAGGATGACTGATACGACGACAACGATTGCACACACAACCAGCATTGTGGATTGCGAATACGACGAGACATTACGCTATTTAGCCATATGAGAGCACAGTGATTATACATTAAAATTGATACGGAACGACACTGCAGAGTCCAGCTGAACGGAACGGAAGGACAGGATCATGGACAACCTTTACGATCATATCACCAACTTCAGCGCCTATGCTGTAGTACGTTCCGACTCGAAGGATCCCTTGGTCCGTGCGAATAATATTCGGGCGCTCTACCGTCGGCTAAGCTGAGCGCGCAGCTGTTCATTCTCGTCCTCAAGATGCACCAGCTTTGGGACAATCTCCGAGTCCACTTCCTTGATCTGGTTCTTCAGGTGATGATTCTCCTCACGCAGACGCGAGACCTCTTCACGCAAGTACGTGTTGACGTCCAGCTGCTGCTCCAGCGACGTCTTTGCCTCCAGCAAGGCATCTTCCACCTCCAGCTGCTTGACGTGGGCGAAATCAGCTTGCTCCTGTACCATGCGGTTGCAGTCGGCCGTTATTTTTTCCACTTCCTCCTCTTTCTGCCTGATCTCCCGCTCCTTCGCCTCAAGCGACGCCTCAAAATTTGAGATCTGGTCATGACTGGTATTCACCTGCTCCTGGTGCTTCCTCAGCGCTTCCTCGTTCTTTTCCAGTTGACTCCGGAGCGTCTGCATCTCAAGTTCGTACTTCACCTGTCCCTGCTGCTTGCTCTGCGCGGACCGCAGCGTCTCCTGCTCATTCAGCAGCTCCGTAATCATCTGCTCGTCAGCAGCGCGCTGACTCTTGATCGTCTGCAACGCCAGCGTCTGAGCACTCAGTTCCTGCTGCAGTTTCCCGAGGCTCGTGTCGATAATGCGGCGACTGGCCAGCATGTCCTCGTGCTGCTGCGGCTTGGCTTCGTTCTCCCGTGCGGCCTTCCGCTCGTCCAGCATGCCCGTGAGCTTGGAGATCTGGCCCTGGAGAGCGCTCTTTTGCTCGCGCTCGAGCTTGAGCGCGTGCTCGAACACGGTACCCGAGCGCTTGGCGTCTTCTTCCTCTGTAAACGTGCGCACATTTGGGGTCAAGACCGACCACTCCCCGCATTGTCGAGCTCTCTCCTGCACCAGGCGCACGCGGAAGACATAGGTCTATATGTATACCAGATACGTATACACGTCACAGCAATGAGCACGTACACGTCTACCGTTATAGTGTATTGACAGCTGAAGTCGTACTGTATTGGGGCAAAGACCTTTGACTGGGAACATGCTGCCCGTAAACAGCGTCGAGTCGTTCCAGGAGTAAAAGACGTAGCCATGGCCACTGTAACTCTGTATACAGAACCCACACAAGAGATCCGTCAAAACAGGGTATACCAAGTATACACAGCAAGAGAGGCACCGACCACTTGCAGCTTATACTGCGCGTCACCATCTGCGATAGGCGGTTTCTGCACGCGCAACGTAATGGACTGCGCAGTCTTGGCCATGACCTCAGGCGCGGGCGGCGTCGGCAGCTCGGGCATTACGGTGAACTGCATGGTTCCCGCTTAAGTACGTGCTACAGTGCGACTCGGTCTGTCGCTGGACTTTGGCAAACTGAAGCGTAAACATTGAGTCGTGCGACAGAGAGCTGCAACACTCTTGTGGGTACTTATTTTGTACCCATCCATCAACATACACTTCTTGGCGTCGATTCGTTCTCATATTGTGCTCCCTCTCTTTAGTGCGAAAAGTCTTCCCGGTACTAACAGCATGACGAACAAAAGCCAACAAGCGAACGTCAGCGAGCTACTGGTAGCTAGCTGCTTCTCGCTACCGCACCGCTCCTTCTTCTTTACCAGCGCATGACGCGGCTCTGCGCAGGAAAGTTCCAGACAAAGGGACGACCGGGCGTCGGTGGCAAATTCTTGGCCTCGTTGTTCTCGACAATGTCCTTCTCCGCGTCGCCCTCCCACTCAAAGTGCACATTGTGCGTCGAGACGTGCTGCAGAAGGAGCTTGTCCCGAGCTTCGTGGGTCGTCGTCATGGCCGCACGCGTACCCGAGGGGTCATAGCTCAGCACCGCTGGGTTCTTGTTGCCAGGCGAGCCACGCTTGGCGTCAGCCGGGATCTCTGCACGCTTCTCAACAGGAAGCGAGGGATGCATGCCAACTTCTAAGGGGTACGGCAAGCTCCGGATGTCCCGCGTATAGTACTGGATGTTGTAGACACTGTCCTTGGAGCCGGACGTTGGCACGAACACGCCTTCGGCCTGCTTGTCAGGGGACGGGTAGCGATAACCCTGCGACACGGCCGGCGATTGGTTCACTTGCTTCGTGCCCGTCGCCTCGGTGAAGACCAAAACTTTGCGGAGCTATAAATACAAAAAGATCGAACAACAGGGAAAAATAGAGAGGGACAAATGGAGATAGAGATGAGTAGAGAGGGACAGATAGAGATAGAGATGAATAGAGATGAATAGAACGACAAATAGAGATAGAGATGAATAGAGATGGTTAGATAGAGATAGATAGAGAGAGATAGAGAGATGTCACGAGTCGTATGTTAGTCCAGCAGCATTCAGGAGACGGGACACAGCGATCCGCACCTTGTTACGCAGCGCTTCCGGCAGCAGCTTCTGGTACTCGAACCTCACGAAGGGTTTCCACGCTTTGTTGCTGCTCATATTGACCGTCGGCTGTCTGTCTGTCTGTCTGTCGTGGGTTTCGAACTAAGCGTCGCGAGCCTCACGATCGATTTCAGCCAATCATCAGCACGCTCAGTCATTCTTTTCACACCAATGACCGACGGTTATTTCACTGACAATCATTCCGTTGCGCATTATGGCAAAGCGGCACTACGACCAAGCGCGCGAGGCGACCGCGCGCGCGCAGAGCTTCGAGCGTGCAGGCCAAGCGGCCCAGGCCCTGCCGCTGCTGGAGCAAGCGCTGCATATCTTCAAGCGCCTGTCAATGGTCGAGTCAGCTGCGCAGCGCACGCAGCTGCAGCGCACGATCGCCGAGTTACAGACGCGCATCGAGACGCTGCAGCTCTCGAGCGACGTTTTGATCCACGCGGCGATGGAACTGCACGCGCTGGCCAAGGAAACCGAAGTGAGTCGACCTCTGGAGCGTGATATCATTATTGAGAGGTACCTCGCCACGGCCGAGACGTATCTGAAGGCGCTGAACGCTCTGCCGTCGAGTGCCGCCGCAACCAAAGCCGCTGTCCAGGAGCAGCTCGAGTACGTGATCGACTACGTGTCGCAGCTCAAGAACGTGGACGAGACACGACAAGTGAATGAGCAGTTGACGCTGCAAAACGAGCCACAGCTGCAGGAGGAGGCGGCGCTCTTGACGCTGTCTGTTGGTGCTGTAAATGGCGGACAATTACTGGACAAGGAGAGGCAAAAGGAGGTCGAGGAGAGCGCCATGTACACGCTGTCGGAACTCCATGTGCTTCGTCGGTCCTCACTGATCAACGGCCATTTGTTCGTGCCGTGGTTGGATGATTTTGACGCTCTGGAGAACTTTTGTCTGCCGCAGGTTTTTGACGACCCGGACGGACTTTTGCCACTGTCAGCAATGCAGACGAAAAAGGGCGTCGTGTGGATGCGACCGAGTGAGTATGAAGCCAAGTGCGGGTATCCGGCAGTGATGATTGCACAGGGAGGGTTGAACCCGTTGGTGGTGAAGCAAGACGTTGTCACGGACTGCTCCTTTGTGGCCTCGCTCTGTATAGCCGCGGCCTATGAACAGCGCTTCCGGAAGCGATTGATCTCGAACATCATTTTCCCGGCTGATCCGGAGACTAGTCAACCAGTGTATAACCCGTCGGGGAAGTACGTTGTTAAGTTGTGGGCAAATGGTGTGCCTCGAAAGGTGGTGATTGACGACTTGCTACCGGTCAGTGCTGCTTCAGGGCAACTGCTGTCAAGTTGTACGACACGAAAGAACGAGCTGTGGGTGAGTCTCATTGAGAAGGCATACTTAAAACTGAACGGCGGATACGACTTTCCTGGCGGCAACTCTGGGATCGACTTGTTTGCACTTACAGGATGGATCCCGGAACGTGTTTCCGTTGCTGAGCTCGTCGATGCACCAGACAACGAAGAGCGGTTGTGGGAGCAGCTGAAGAGCGCGTTTCACTATGGAGACTGTATTATTACACTAACCACAGAAGACCTTTCAAAGCCAGAGGCCAAAGCAATCGGGCTGGTGCCGATGCACGTTTATGCGGTCCTCAACGTATACGAGCTTAGTAGTCTCGATTCGAATGCCGATTCTTCTGAAGGTACCGAAAAGACTAGGTTGCTGCTGGTTAAAAATCCTTGGCGCAAGATGAGCTGGAAAGGTCCTTACTCGTGTGGCGACAAGACGCGGTGGAACAGTCCTGTCGGTGACGAGCTGCGGGCATACCAACGACAATTCTACGCTGCTGAGGAAAGCACAACCGACGAGGAACCAGACGACGGTCTGTTTTGGATCGACTTTCAGTCAGTACAACGGTACTTCGAAAGTTTGTACATGAACTGGAACCCTGAGCTCTTCCCTTACAAAAGCGTGTACCATGAGCACTGGCCTGCGGAGCTTGGACCTGTGAACGACTCACTCACGCTTGGATTCAATCCGCAGTACTCGCTCACATTTTGCAAGAATGTGGAAGCCGATGAAGGAAAGACTGAGGCAACTGGTTCATGCACCGTCTGGGTCTTACTTTCGAGGCATGTGAGTGCGATTGAACGCGACAGGGACTGCCCGAACGAGCAGTTCTTGACACTACACGTTTATCGAGGGCAAGCAAAAAAGCGTGTGTACTACAACCAGAATGCAATATCGCGAGGAATGTACAGCAACAATCCTCATGCGCTTGTCAGTCTGGATCTGGACTTGACAAAAGACTGCGAGCCGTCTTTCACGCTTGTGGCCTCACAGTACGAAAAGCTGGCAGATGTCGACTATACACTGTCCATCTTCTCTACGCGACCGTTTACTTGCGAGCCCATTCCCCACTTGACGACCACCGCACCAGTCTCACTTGTGATCCCTGGCACTTGGGATTCCTCCAGCGCTGGCGGTCGTCCGTTCTACTCGACATTTATGGTTAACCCGCAGATCCATTTACAGCTACAGCAGCAGTGTCGGTCCATTTTCTTGTTTTTGGAAACTGAGGCGTTTGTTTCCAAGGACCCAACGGATGCCGGTTTTCCTATCAACTTGCGTGCTGCATTGCACGCACGCGAGCGGGTATGTGATCTGCATGCAGAGAACCCGACATCAGAGAGCCGAGAACCGTTGAGGGTACTAAGTTCTGGCGAATACCGGCCCGGGTTTTGTTTTATCGAGATCGACGCCTCTCTTGCCACAGATCTGCACGACATCGTGCTGATCCCATCTACATTCGAGCAAGGAGTTACCGGTAACTTCATACTGCGGGTCGTAAGCGATCCACCTTCAGGCGCGAGCATAGCCTATCACCGACTACCAGCCGAAGGGGACGGGATGGAGCTGACTCGGCTGCGTGGCAAGTGGGACATTCAAACCGGTTCTGCGGCTGGCTGCTCGATTTATGGCCGTTATACTTTCAATCCAAAGTACTTGCTGTACGTGACGCAGGAGTGTGAAATGCTTGTCCGATTACTAGTACTGGAGCCAGAATCAGATGTATCACCGGACGAGTCCCTGACGAAAGCCATTACCATATCTATCAACGTATCCGTGTTCGCGAGCACATCAAATGGTGACTTGTTACTCTCCACGACTCCCGAGGTTGCCAATGCGGGTGCCACTTCAGCGCGCGGTGCGTATGTCAACGGCGCTCCCAGCGGTGTGCTCGCCAAAGCCTCTCGGTGTTTCTCGCCAGGATGGTATATCGTACTTCCATCGACATCCGAGCCACAGGAATTGCACTACGAGCTTCGCTTGTACGCATCTACCCACATTGACGTGCGCTGTCTCTAGCTGAAAGAAATACAAGACTTGATCTGTCAGCAAAAGCAAAAAAAACTGGTGCTACATTATCTGGGACCAGTCGATGACATACGATAAACTGAAACGTTGGGGCCGGCTAAGAAGTGGTGGCCAAGAGGAACCCGACGGCGCTTCCCTACTCCGATTGATGGTGAGCGCGAATCAATGTGGCGTTTTGTAGGCACAGCGAAATCTGTGCACGCCCATCAATCGTTCGGGTCCATAAGGTATGAGACTGTTGACGCCGCAATTGAGAAAAATCTGTGAGCAAATTTTGATTGTCCTACGTCGGGCAAACATCACTGCTTCTCAACACCGTTTCGACACACATCCAGGGACACTGACGAGAAGTCATCGGTAATTGCGGCTGAACGAAGCTGCAGCTAGGAAAGCTGGAATCACTGTGCGACTTTATCAACACCGCAATGGATCGAGCTATCTGCGGCTTTTCGTGCCCTGAAACAAGCGTGATTGCCGAAGAAGACGGCAGGCGAGACTCAGCAAAGAGAAGCAAGCGATCCTGCAACAAGCGACAACAGCGCTATCGCGCAAAGCAGCGATTGTACGTTGAAAGACTCGAAATAACTGTGCAACGCCTTCGACTGGATGTGGATCAGCAAGTAATGAATCGTCGGGATGTTTGGGAAGCACGTTTTCGTGACCTCCAGCCAAATATGTCAGTCCGGAGGAATACGACGAGTGGCAGTGACGTCGTGACGTCCATGTGTGAATGCATGAAAGCGTTTGGTTGTAGTGTCCAAGGTGACCGGGCGAGACATTTTGAGGCATTGATGCGGAGTGATGTTCACAACGGCGATCTTATCGGTCGTGACAGTATTCTCGCGCAGTGGAAACGTCTTGTTCGTCATTTCAGTGATGTCGTGCCGGTGCTGGAGGATTGCTCTGTAAACGTGAATTTTGTGGACCATTCTACTGCGATTGGGCACGTGACCGCGTCGCTTGAGCTGCGGCTGACCCGTCGAAATTTGGCCGCTATCTTTCCCTATACTGTCACTGACATGAGTGTCCGCGATCGGTTACTAGTGAGCCCGCTCGTGCTGATGCCAATGGCCGTCTTTTTTCAATTTGATGAGCAAGGCAAGGTCAGTCGTTATGACCACTCCGTCGACTTCGTAGCTGGGCTTTACGAGGTGCTCCGAGATTACCGGGACGTGGCGAGTATGCTGAAATCGGCCAATCTCGACGCTTCGGGACAAATTCGTGATGATGAACCCGCGGTTGCGATAAGTCAGCTCGTTTGTCGTGATCGTCGCATCCGTGATAAAGCCGTTTTGGGGTGCCCGAGCAAACTCTCAGTACGGTATCTGCTATCAAACGGCGACACTGGTGAGTAAGTCGTGTGACAATGGCAAGTCGGCGCTAGTCACGTACTTGTACAAGTCCTGTGACACATGGACTGGCGTAAACGTATACTGTACAAGTCCTGTGACCCATGGATTGGCGTAATTGTGTACTTTACAGCAACCGTGAGCGAGGTGAATGGTAGTCTGGTGCAGTTCTAGTGTACTGTTGCTCCGTGTAGCAATCCTGTCCTTGCAATCTTGTACTGGTCAAGCGCAATACTCGTGGATCTAATGTCGGACAACTATGGCAACTGACGAACGGACGCTACAGACGAAGAGCATATCATCGTTTGACGCTGCGAATGTAAACGCCGTACGGTTGCGCTGCATCTATCAGTATTTGGAAGTGGCCAAAGTTTCACCTGCCAGGGAGTATTGGCAGTGCTCTCATCCACTGTGCAATTATTCACTCTACCTTTTCGACTCCCATCACCTCCTTTAATATATCGTATGTCGTTAAGCTGATACCCGTAGATACTGGACTCTGCACAGACGTACAAGAAACATCGTATGAGTATCACACGAAAAGAATGTGGACGGGATGCAGATTGCAGCAGCCGAAGAGAAGCCAGACTTACCCGCATCCAGTTTACAGACACACCCTTGAACAGACCCCGCCAGCCTTCCCGTGCGAGAATGATGCGTGCCGTGGAAATGACACCCGTGTATCGAAGTTGTGCCTGCGATCGCGAAACGTAGCCGTCGGTTTGGATACGTCTCCTGATGGTGTCTAGTGGGTACGTGCCTAGCAAACGAAATGACAACGAAGTTGGTAAGAAACGACATCAAGCCCGAAGCCTCTTTGTGGTAAATGCACTGCAGAGATCTACAGCAAAAATGCACGTACTGGTTTGTGCGATACATGCCGCAAGGTACGAGCAACCAAATTTGGTCAACGTATTCAGGCCCGAATCGGGCGCACATTCCCCATGCTTTCGCTCAAACCGCCGGTGCTGAAACTCAAGCGTCTACGTGTGTGCACAGACAAGCACGTGTCACATGTTTCGTGTGAGTAACCCTAGTGAATCACAAAACACACGTACACTCACTTACCCATGTCTTGAATCGCTCGTTCAGCGAAAACCCAATTCCAGTGTACGGCAGCGTACCAAGCAACGACGGCAAAAGTCCGCGTGAGAACGACCGCATACCATCGACTTTGTACATCGTGACTACTGCTTCGCAAACGCTGGTGTAGCGGTGCTTCCCCATCTGCACCATGTACCTCGCTCGTACAATATCCAGTGGGTACGCTACAATCAACGAAACTCCTCCAGCCAGCGACCCAGCCGTCACAAGCTGCAAATTACTGAGTTTCGGCACTTTGGCACTCCCCTCTTTTTCCGCTTTCTTGAAATTGTACGCGTGGAACTTGTGCCGGAAAAAATCAAACCCCGAGTGCTGTATTCCCGCATACGGGATCACTCTCAAGATGTTCAACATATTGCCTCGAAACAGGGCGTAGAAGCCATCGTGCACGTAGATTCGATTGGCCATCCGGACAGCATTGCGAAAATTGAATTTGCGCTGGTCGTCTACTTGAAAGAGGATTTTGATGCGATCCAAAGGAGCCAAGACCGACTTGGCAACAATGCCGGCCATTCCACCAGCAAGAAACGACTTGGAGACTGTCAGCATGGATCCGTTTCGGTCCGTTCGAACTGCATCAACAGCTGTATCCACTTGCTCGAGCTCCGCTGTATCCGTCACCTCCTCATCCGCTGGACCCGTTTTATCCGGATACCTCCCACAGTCGATCCCCGCAGCTGCCTCGTGGTCCTCGTGATGGAGCAACCTCGACGTACTATCGTCACCTTCGCGCAACTTCCGCGCCCCTCTCCGCTTTTGTAACAAGTGGACAATCTCGAGCGGGATTGTCTCGTTCAAAAATGACGTCCGCTCTGATTGGCTGAAATCGAAAAACAGCCCCTCGCCGTCCCCTAGAGCCGCCATCTGCGTCGCCCACGACGTGTAGACGTTCTGTACCGACTGGGGATTCTGCGCCTTGCAGCGCATGACCCAGTCACAAAACGCGGTAAAGTCCAGTCGCTCGTCTCTTGGCGCCAGGTCATGTCGCATACGGCGAGTCGTGTCCAGACTCGGATCCAGTCGCGCAATCGCCTCAGCCAATGCACCGCGGGTGATGGTCCCCTGGTCGTCCGGCTCCAAGTCGGTGAAGAAGGCGCGCATGATCTGTAGCACTTCGGGGGTTAGGGCAAAGTCCGGGTTGTACGTCTTGAGCGCTTGGAGAGCGTACGCCAATTGCTGCTGTTGTTGCTGTTGCTGGAGGCTGCTGCACGTCACGTCGGGAGCTTTCGCTGCTGTTGCGGGCTCGACCATTATTGTCCGGGACGAGATATTGTGCGGGTGGGTGTTTTGTTTCGCGATGGGATGGTGATGGAAAGAGGGAGCGGGATGAGGTTGGGTCCGGGTATTGGTAGAACTGAGAGATGTCACCGTGTTTTGTGAAAACGATCGATAGGATGCGTGGAGGTCGAACAGGTGTCGCGAAGGTAGTGAGTTCGGCTGGGGTTGGGCCGTGGCGTAGAAAAAGGTACCAGGAGCAGCAGCGTCCTTCGAGCGATTTGGACTTTCGACACGCAAACCTGGAAGTGAATGTATGGCGACTTGATGATGACAAGCACTTGCAGCGCAAAAGACTTGGGATCGCTTGCAAGTCGAAAGACTGTTTCATTGAAAACGGGTTTGAACCATGTGCTGCTTTTGCAAGTCCCGTGAGGAGACATCATCACTCGTGCTCCGATTGAAGCACGAGATTGCGGCGTCTTCATTGCCAAAGGATTGCAAAAGCGCCACTGGGCCACCTTCTTGTCTTGGCGACCACACCACCCTAGCTCCCAGTCGCCATCTCCGTTTGCCAATCACTTTAGCTGTCCAGTAGCAATGGCGTCATCTCGTCCTTTAGCGCCTTCTTCGACGTGGAGTGCTTGGCGTGCCAGATCGTGACGACGACAAAGACCAACGAGAAAGCCACGAGCAAGCCAATGACGTTGCCAGTCACACAATCTGCAGCCATGTGGCCCTGGACGTCCTCGCCATGCAACACGCCGCTCACGTTGCAGCTGTTGTTGAACGAGAGTTTCTCGAGGATACCCGACTCGACCGTAGCAACCACGAGCGCTATGATCGACAGTCCAAGGCCAATGTGGTACGGAGCGATAAAAGCACGAACATTGTCTTGTGCTCCAGGGTAGAAGAACACTGCAAAGCTACCGAGCCACTGCATACCACAACGATAATGTCAGATAACAATCCAGAGTCGACAGGAGTTCCTGCAGGTTGCAACGTACGAGTGCCAAGAACAGGATCACCACCGTCAGTCCCAGCCAACTATGGAGACTGTAGAGGTTGGTAATGTTGTGCTCGTTGTGGAAGCGGAAGACTGCGATCGCCCCAAGACCTGCACTCAGGAAGCCCAGCGCGTGCAGCGACAGGTGGATGCGCTGTGTAACAACCGAGCAATGTCAAGTCCAAGTTCACTTGAACCCATGTGAACTCGATGAATGCTCCTCACCTTCTTTACTTCGTGACTGAACGGCAACGAGATGTATGCGAGAGCTGCCTGCATGGAGCAGAAGACGAAGCCAAAGGTCATGAGCAGCGGGTGCCAGTTGAACACGCGAGCGTCTCCGTAGCTCCATGAAAAGCCAGCGATCTCCTTGACGGTCACGACTCCGTCTTGAACCGCAAAAGACGTCAAGCCACTTCCCATCCAGTAGGCCATAAGCACTAGAACCAGCACCGGTAAACTCTGTCGACAAGCGCAACAAGAGGAAGTGACGCACACACACAATAGGGTGAGATCTCTCCCATTCAGATCCTACTGGCGGATATCAAAACGTCAAGGCAATGGATTGCAATTGCACGACGCTCACTACCACGAAGAGTGTCAAAACTCGGCACCTACATGGGCCAAAATGCGCGGCCAGGACTCGACTCTCATCACTGCTTGAAAAATCGGTGAATGACCGAAAGATCGCGGCGGAATTTGTGGGGAATGGCACGATCTCAAAGGGATTGGACCGCGGCCGCGTCGCTTCGCGATCATTGGCGCATTGACTGGTGAGCGTAATCAGGATGCGGGGTACGAAAAAGATCCCGTTTGCGTTGCGATGCGGCCATCGCATTGGCCGTTAGTATCTTAATTGTCAGTCACTTGAGCTCTTTTAGGTTTTTCAGACTTTAAAACCGAGACCAGGTTCACTCCATGGCGTTTTTTCGAGACGTCTGAGTTTTACAATTGTACCACGTCCCGCCGGTTGGGATGGAGGCGTGATGGAGCTTGACTGGCGTGACAACCTCCTTCTCTAAGATCCTGATTGGGGATGGACGAACGGAGATGTTATTGAGGTCGCTGACTGTCGCGCTAGCCGCTTATGGTTTGGAACTCACTTTCTGGTCGACGCGTCAGTTTTAAGAGATTTCATAATCGGTAGCAGATTTAGATCGCTCTAGTTGGCACTGTCGCGCATCGTCTCGTTTCCTCCCATGCGGCCAGTATTTGCCTTTTTTCGTCGTACGGAACCCGTTGCTGATTCATGAGCAAAGAGAATTGTAGTGACTTCTTGCATCAGCTTCGTCTCTAGTTGCCATGTTACACGAACATGTACGACCGAGAAGATGTCAGTGTACGACCGAGACGATGATTGTTTAGTAATACTACAAATCTATGCGCTTTCCATCTTTTGCACATATCGACGTGACAAAAACACACATCTATTTGAAGACGTTCTCGAATTCTAATGTAATAATTATGACAGGTGTACTTATTTGGAGCGGAGAGGGGTATGGAGGCTACGTTCGGCACCGTTTTCGCCAATCAAATGGCTGCTTTCGTCGCGCAAATTCGCACCACTCGACGGTATGAAGCACAATAGCACGGCTGCACAATAATGGTGACCAAATATTCGCCGCTGCCAATTAGAAACGGTCTCTTTTTACGCACCACGGCCGCCCCACTTTGCCCACTCACTGCTCGTGCGTAAGTAAACTAAATATAGGCACCTCCTCCTCGTCCTCGTCCTCTCATGTCGGCGGCCATCGAGCAGCGCAATCAGGACGCGACCGTGTACGTGGCCAACTTGGATGACCGCGTGAGCGAGGAGCTCTTGTGGGAGCTCATGCTACAGGCCGGCAGTGTCTGCAACGTGCACATGCCGCGCGACAAGATCACGGGCAGCCACCAGAACTATGGCTTTGTTGAGTTCCGCACGGAAGAGTGCGCCGAGTACGCGGTCAAGGTGCTAAACATGATCCAATTGTATGGGAAAGTCATTCGCGTGAAAAAAGCGTCGAATGAGAAAAAGGTGCTGGACGTGGGTGCGAATCTATTTTTGGGTAATTTAGACCCCGAAGTGGACGAGAAGTTACTTTATGATACCTTTTCCGCTTTCGGCGGGATCATCGAAACCCCCAAAGTGATGCGGGATCCGGATACGCGAACCTCGCGAGGGTTCGGGTTCGTGAGCTTTGATTCGTTCGAGGCGGCGGACTTGGCCATCGAGTGTATGCACGGACAGTACTTGTGCAATCGCCAAGTGGTGGTGCAATATGCCTATAAAAAGGATAGTCAGAACGAGCGGCACGGCTCGGAGGCCGAGCGGTTGCTGGCGCAGAAGAACCCGAACAAGCTCAAACCCCATACGCTGTTTGCCTTTACGGCTGCTCATGGTGGCGGCCCGGGGATGCAACCGCCTCCTCCGCCTCAGTTTGGTCAAGGCGGAGGCTACATGATGGACATGAACATGAATATGGTGGTGCCCATGGTGGTGCCGCCACCGCCACCCCCGGTGCCACAGCATGTAGGAATGGGGATGCCGTACCCACCACACGCTGTTCCGGGGATGGTCGTTCCTCCTCCGCCACCACCACCGCAGACGAGATGAAGGGAGACGTGAGGTGGATGATGCAAGGAAGCACCACGGACTAATCACGCGAGCGACTGTGTTTACTGCACCTCTTTGTTTTTCTGAAATGCATCTGAATCGGTCGACGTTGTATACAGTTTTTGTGCTCTGTCTTGCCGCTTTGTGCTTTGTCTAGCTATCGATAAAGCCAAGTTCGTGCAAGGGGAGAACCGCTATGACAGTTACCGACAGTCCCTCGATCATGTCGAGGCTTTGCTGATACTTTCAGAGTACGCGGTGAACGGGATCTTCCAGCGGCTTGTTCGCTTTCTATTGCTCAGTCGACAGCCATATCGGCAATTGTTGCGGGACTCGCAGTATTGTATGGATCCGTCGAGCAGGTTAGTAAGCTCATCGCTGACGGGACAGTTTACTGACAAGGTGAGCTCCTACTGCAACAACACGCTCCTTAAATCATTTAAATCTCAGCAACTTCGCCGCTGGTGCTAGCAACAACGATTTGTATAGCACCAGTCCACCACCCGCAAGCACCACGGACGATAGTGTCACCAAGTGGCAGCATCTGCATGCTCGACGTTCCAGCGTGTTTGGTATCAAACGTTGGTCATTCCTATTCCAAGTTGTGCCGACACAACTGCAGCAACAGCTCGTCTCCAAACATGGTCAAGTTTTGCATGGAGACGTTCTCCATTCCAAGACCTTGCGATGTGCGGAAGTGATTTGTCATCTTCACGTGAGCGTTATCAAAAACGCTGTACCTTCGTCTGTGCGAGGCGACGTAGCGCGCAGAGCATACCTCAATCTGAATCGATGGTACGTGATCAGCACTAACGAGGACGAGGCGCGTGAATCACAGGACCAGAGCCCGTTAAAGTCTCCCTTCTCCTCCTTTTCTAATAAGCAAGTGAAAATTCAACGGCTGTGGGACGCGTCGCAGCCATCTCGTGCTGTCTTCATACATTTCTACCCTGCGAAGGAGTAACTCATGTCCTGGCGACAACCAGGAATCGATGACCGGCGTATGATGCAGGAGATTCTGGAGCTTCTCGTGGCGGACGGTCCTAGCACTCACCAAGATCGAACAGCTTCAACGACTGTACATAGTGGCGTTGACGGTTATAGCAATGAGGACGGGGTTCGAAGAGAGTTCCATCCCGATTCGGAGTTCAGTCCCGATTCGGTGCTGAACTCGAGCTACAGCGGTGCTTCTCTGAACGAAGAGATGAAAGAGATTGTAAACCTTCTCGGTACCGATGGCGTGAGGATCCCAGGATTCCAAAGTCGGGTCATTGACGAGTCGCCGTTCGTGAACAATCGGTCGAGCACGCAGGATGGACTGAAAGTACCGCAAAAGGAGCAGCAGCAGCAGCAGCAGTAGTTCCTGTTCAACACAGGTAGGCGACATCCCTCGATGCAACAGCTTTTTGGTCCTAATCTGCGTGTTGCTTTGTACTGCCTTACCTCAACCTTCGTCCACTACATACCGAGAGTGATCGGTTGATATCGCTTTGGTGCGTAGAACGTCTCACTTACGTCTGGCCATGTCACTTTCTTGAATGTTGCTCTACCACATCCAGGCCTGGTGCTCGGATCCTGCAAGACCACGCAGCCTTGGTGATATCGCCGATCTCTTCCAATTTATCGTGAGCTCATCAGAAGGTGTTGTCTACCTTAACGTTACCGACGTATGTGTCGATTTTTCTAAATATGCGATCTAGGCATGCTAGGACGCAACTCGCTACGGGAAGTACTGCACTTACGTTTGCTGATCCGGCAAGCGACCCCTTTCCGCCCGCTCCACTGTCTACTTCGGTGTCGAGAAGGGTTTCGCCAACTCCGAGAAACCCGTTGGCATCAACGCATAAAGTGAGATCTCCGCCGCCTTCGAATATGTTGCCGACAGGGCAGCTTGTGCATGTAATTAACTCGACAGAGTTTGACGAGCTTCGTCGTAAGCTACGGATGCAAACAGCGTCTCGTCGATATCGCAAGCGGAAAAAGGTGCGGCCAGACAAAGGTGTCGTGGGTCAAGAGTTAATGGCTCACTCAGCTAGCTGTCGTTTCAACTTCTTGCATGGCAGGAGAAATCACGCCAGCAAAAGGTGGAAATCCAGGAGCTCCAAGCGGAATTGGCTCGCTTGCAAGAAGCCGAAGCGCAGTGGAAACAGTATCAGAAACGCTCGATTGAGTCTCTCCAGAAAGAGCTCGAAATGCACGAACAGGAAGCCATCGCTCTTTCAAAGAAGGTACAAGATGGAGCGAAAGAAGAATTCGATTGGGTAGAGCATGCCGTTTGGATAGAATGTGTGGTGCCGCTCGTGATTGCACTGGTAGTAGGGGCTGCATTGAAGAGCGATAATGAACTGACGCGTGTTTGCTTGTTGGCTTGGTTGTGACCTAGGTCGAGGTGATGAGCGGCCACCTTCGCAAGTAAGTAGCTCCTCGGTAGGCATTATACAAGTTAAGCTCAGAATGATTATCCCAGAACCTAAAAGTCGGTGAAAGCGAGTTATCGGTAATGTTCATTGCACTTCTTGGTCAACACGAGCACTGAGACATTAAGAGCAGGCATGACCCCAGTCCCAGACACGTGAACATCAACTGCGTTAAACCTGGGCACCTTCCACTTGTCATTTTCGTATTCGTCACTCAACCCGATTGTTCGTCATGTCTTCGGTACCGCCTCAGAGCGACATGTTCGACATGACTGTAAATGACCTGTTGATCATCCCAGAGATTCAGGAGGTCTTGAAACGGGATGTATCCGACGACAAGCCCATGCTTGCGGCACTCAGCATGTATAGCTACACTAGCAGCCCAAGAGCGTCCATTTACGACAAAGTTGCAAACGCGGAGCCAGAAGGTACCGAAGAAAAGCGGCGATTCGAGAAGCACGACAAAAATGGGTATCGTCAGGTGCACTCACCAGTGTACGACTGTTATGGGCTTGCAGTTTATTCGCTCAATGCGATAAAGCTAACCGAGCTCACGTGCTATTCGTGTGATCGTGTAAGGCAGCTCAAAAGCAGTAGGTTTATCAACCGGATTGGACGTGACCAAGGAACAGAAACCAAGGACGTCGGACAACAAGCTTGTTCGATACTACAAACCAGCGGACAAGACAGTGAAAGGAATCTGCGCTACTGAACTCCGTGACCTCCGCCGTGCAGCTCAAGTGCGAATGGCTTCCTTTCAACAAATCAAGCAGGAGAAAGTACGCTCAGCAACTTTTTGTCGACATGGTGTACACGTTCTTCCATGCAACACCTTGCTATTCTTTTGCTGTGTAGGAAATAGCATGTCGCCAGCAACACCAAATCCAAGAACTCCAGTCGGAGCTGCTTCAGCTGCTCCAAATCGAAGCGCAGCTTGTAGCCGATGAGGAGCGGTCGGTGGATTCGATTGAGGCGGAGCTTCAGATGTGCAAAGAAGAGATCGCAAGTCTCTCCGGGCAAATGCAGGAAGCCGCTCAAAAAGAACTCGACTGGGTAGCGAAGGTCGTTGATGTATGTCACGGTTGATCTTTTAATTAGCTGACACCTATACTAGAATCAACTAACTCGCTTCCCATCTTCCAATGCGCAGATCAGCTTGGTCAACAAGTGCTATAGCGAATGAGGCACTCGTCGAAAAAGTCGAGCCAAGTCGATGAGAGTCAATCCACACATCAACAGGCATTCGTTTCCGACCCCTTTCGTCTGATTGTTAGTTCCACTGACCTCGTCCCACGCTTCATTTTCAGCAGCTACATAACTTCTTCCTCCTTTAACCTCCCTCGTCGTTGTGTAGTCCAAGCTGCAGGGATACAAGAAGAGACTTTTGTAGCATTCGAGCATTCACCTTTTGGGTAGACCCCATCTCATGCGGCGTTGACCTATCCTGACCAACACAACCAGCGGCGTCGATTAATGCAAGTCAAGTACGTATTGTTCGTGCTTTTGAACTTGCGTCCGGTGGAAGTGTTATACCATTCAGCGCTTCCACTCTGCACGGGTGCTACCTCTGATAGCTGCGCGTGATACCTCTTTTGCTAGCCCCACTTCCTTTAGCTACAGACATCCGTCTTTGAAGGAAGTCTCTTGGTAATTTCAACAGTCGCCAAAGATTCACCAACTAGTACAAGGTGATGATTCAACCACAGCAGTTCAAAGTGCCATCACGAATCGGTACGCCATATCTTGCAACTTCAGCTACAGATATGAGGCCACATGAATGTCTAGCTCTTTGCGGTGCTAAGACTACAAACGCTCAGGCAATCGGGATGCTCAGACTCCGTAAAGATTTCGAGCCGAACTCACTGACACCTTTACAATCAACTTGCACGATGTTAGTGCAGCAAGCAGACTCCTAAATACCGCATCCTGACTCTGAATCTTGAATCCATCAATGGTTGAGTTGTCCAAGTCGCACCGAGAGAGTTGTGACGTGGTTAATTTGAAACTTTCGGAGTGAGAGACGCAGCGTCTGGAGATATGGACAAATGAATGAACGACACTTGCAAAATTCGAGGTGGGGCTTCTACTCATAATCAAACCGATCGACGATACCAGCGCGTTCACATGGTTAATGTAGGTAGTCGAAGCTGGTAAATAGTACTCACATCGTAAGTTGACATGACTTTATGAATATTCGTATTGCTGCTATCTAAACAGCTGTGGCTGGTGGTCGACTGACGGACAATTCCCGGGATCAGCCAGTACTTCTGAAAATAACCTCTTTACAAACAATTAAATGACTCGTTCGTTGGTCTCCGATTTCTGGATGCGGCCATGGGCGATGACCTCTTTTCCTCGTCGACGCTTCCAACAAACGCGTCCCTCTTTCTCTACTGAACGAGAAGACCAGAAACTAGTAAAAACGAGTACTAAGCGACGGATTGCAATGGTATGTCGATTGAACAAAACTGTACCGAATTGATTGCACTCATTCTGCGTTGACCAAACTCAAATAATGATGAAAACATTTACAGGCAATCGAAAAAATGAATGGACACGGCGATAGCGTTGGCACGTATGTCTCTGAACAAGGCGTTCCGATGCAAGTTGTCGTGCCATTCGGCGCTCCTGGTGATGAACTTGAGGTTGACATATGGGACCGTGACGTCCAGTCTCGAGAGAAATGGGTTGATGATGCCAAGCCTCGAAGCTCCTGGCCACTTTTTGGGCAACAAAGTGACGTGCTGAAGCCCAGTGACCATCGAGTGCTTCCGAAGTGTAGCAAGTACTTTGGTATCTGCGGTGGCTGCAAACTGCAGCACGTGAGCTACGACCAGCAACTTCGAGAAAAACAAAACTGGATTCGTGAACTTTTTGCGTCAAGGAACCATTCGCCAGATATGGAGAGTCGTGCTATTCTAGGCGTTGAGACTGACGGTGGTGATGACATTCGCGTGTACCATTACCGCAACAAGATGGAATTCACTTGCAGCACCGGTCGCTGGCTGTTGGAAGAAGATGAGCCTGCAGATGATGACAGGGCGTTGTCTGTTACTTCTCGCTATCCATTCACGGTTGGCATGTTTCCCATAATGTCGGTCAGTGCTCGTCGATCCAAGCAGATCCATGGCAAGAGTAAAGCACGGGGACGTCGTGCTGCTGTGTGGCGCCCTAGAATTTTGTCGCTCAAGGAATGTCTGTTGCAATCTTCAGCTTGCAACAAGCTGCTCCAGCAGCTTGTGTCCAGGTGCGAGGGCGCAGGCTTACAGGCTTATGATTTTAACACACACGAAGGACATCTCAAGCAGATTGTGTTGCGTCGTGGTCTTAACCGTCAAGGTCGGACAGAGGTCATGTTAGGACTTGTCACCACGACATTTTCGGGAGAACAGAGCGAGCTTTTGCAACACATCGTGCGCGACCTCGTCCAAGATCAGGAAAAGGACCTGCACGCTGAGAATGCAGATGATTCACGGCTTGTGTCGGTTGTGGAAAGTCTTGATGGTGAAGCTCAGCGCCATCGACGCAAAAGAGAGCGTGCTGCTTCTGAAAGTACAACGGAAGAGGTTATCTCGGAGCGAGTTCTTTACGGCAGCTCACATTTGGAAGACACCATCCTTGGTCACACCTTCAAGATCTCGTTCGACTCATTTTTCCAGCCAAACTCAGCCCAAGCAAGCGTGCTTTACCACGAGATTCAGATCATGATCAAATCACTGCCCGAAAAACCTGTGGTATGGGACCTCTTTTGCGGTGTGGGTAGCATCGGCATTTGCATGGGGGCACATGCTAAAAGAGTTGTAGGATTTGAACTCGTGGAAGCGGCTGTGGAGCGCGCCAAAGCTAACGCGCAGTTGAATGGATATAGCCGCGATCACATGCAATTCTTTTGCATCGACTTGACCAAGAATTGGCAGGAAGAGGAACTTCGAGCCAAGATTCGTTCCAGCTCGGATGATCTGTCGTCTGAGTTTCCCGATGTGGTGATCGTCGACCCCCCACGAGCAGGACTGCACAAGAAGCTGATCAAGATGCTGCGACGCATGGCTCCTCGCTACATTTGCTATGTGTCGTGCAATCCGCACTCGCAAGCTCTTGACCTCGAAGAGATTTGTGCCCATGCGAAGCCTGAAAAAGGAGAACTCGGGACTTACCGCGTGCGACATCTACAGCCAGTCGACATGCTTCCCCACACCCCTCACGTCGAAACGATCGCGTGGCTGGAACGTCGCGAGTAGTCAAGCTGACATGAAGTGCTGACAATGTCACGTAGGACAAGCAAGACAATCAATAGCGAGCGTGCACTAGACGTCGCCGGTCTCCGTCAAGCTGTCAGCAAGATGACCAAGAACAACAAGTGGCATCTACAATGCCGATGGATATGGGTAACGCAAGGCATAGCCCGGAGTTTACCCGCAGCGGCAACAGCATTGCGTACGTCAAGTCAGCGGGCTTTTGTCTATTAACGTGCACGACTCAACTCAAGCGAAGCTAATTTGCTTGTCAAAGAAAGTCATTGCTGATGTCGAGTCTTTGGCATCGAGTGCCATGACCTTCTTCCAGCATCGGACGAAAGCCTGTTGGATAAAGATGTGCAGGTTTAGTCATTCTTCAACCCTGCTTCAACTTCGATGCCTCAATAGCATATGTTTTCTTTTGCTACCGCTGTTATAGAATCAGTCATGCGTTATGACCGAAAAGTCTCTAGTCGCGGCTATGCACTATACAATCACATGATGATGCTCAGATAACCCTGCATTATAAACCTTAGTTGGGGGCTGTGGCATTTGATCTCGGATGTAGCATTCATACGTTTGCGCACCACGTGTCTACATCTTCTCCGTCAATAAAGAGCCGACAGTGCAGCCGTGTAAGTGCTGGCGCGTACGTCGGTGTATGCGCCACGCTTTGATCTGAGGTTTCTTCAGGTCATACCATAAATGTATAGATTCTGCGATAAGGTGTAGGAGTGATGTTGACGATAGTACGTACTACAGTTGCTAAAACCTGAAGATTGGCAGCTTTTTGATAATTGTGGGTAAGAATCGCTCAATCATATGAGTCACCCGATTGAATCTTCCATAGAATTGTGCTGTCTTTCAAGACGTAGCTACCTGCCAAAGTGTAGGCTCACTTGCGGCGAATATCAACCAATTCCGGAAATAGGGCAGCTTACTACGTACCCATTGTAGCGGAGCTACTTAGCACTATTTAGCGCTTGTAGCGAAGCTACACAGCTCCTTATGTCAGATGAAGACTTAACGCTCGACGAGCAACTTAGTTTTCAAGAATTAGACTCAACGATTCAACAAGCCTAAAGCTTCTGGTCCTTGTTTCAGGGGACCAAACGACTCAGTAAATCGACAGCACTTAGTGCTCAAGAGTAACTAGCTACCTCAAGGAGGTGTTGCTAACTCTTAGTGATCAGTGATCAACGACCAAAGACGCCTCGAAAGGCACGTGTCTTTGAAATCAAAAGGGAAACTGAATATTATTTACTTTTAAACCTATAGAATATCTTAATCCTAATGTTCCCTGATCTAGATACAAATGTCCTAAGTTGATACAGGTAAGATCTTTCCTATCTAGTAGCTGACACCAGTTAACCCCTATAAACCAATGAGGTGTTCTGTATCTCTTTCAGTGGGATATCATCCCGTGCGTCTTAAACACAGGGTACCTGATACCCAACTACGTGTAACCCCTTTACAGCGCTCCTTAGCAGAGGAAGCTTTAGACTTAAGAAGTGTCTTAGTTATAATAAACTAACAATGACGTACAGTCGTTCAAGCGTACAAGCTTAGCAATTCCGGTTCCAAAGGGATTACGATTCACATAATCACACTAACAAGTCACTACTAGTTAAACAAGAGTAAGCGCCTTTACAAGGCTACTGCTCTTACAACACACGACGCCTTTACTTGGCTTTTGTATCCAATGATTTTGAAAGGGGAACTGAACTTAATTTATTCTTTAAACCACGGTAATAAAACCCCAAAACTTTGTCTGACTGACTTCTACATTGCGATCCTATGACAGAATTCTTATCCCTTACGCCTAATCAATAAGGTGCGATATTGGCATAAGTTCATGGTACCAAGACTGTGTCACTCAGATCCACCGATCTTTAATTGGTGTAACACATTACAAAACCGGTTCAATAACCGCCGCATATTCCTGCTGCACACTCTCATTTTGTCCTTTCACCAAAGCAGCTGTTATGACCGACACTTTTCCTCGTAAAATAAGCTAAAACAAATCATTGCATAAAGCCAAGCTCGCTGTAATTGCGTCGTAGCAAAACTTTGAGCAATTTCAGTAAAACACGACAAAAAATATAAAAGCGACCTGATGTGGGATGCTAAACTCTGCGCCCTCAGAGGTTTGAAAACACTTTTCTTTCGTGACAAGTTTTTAGCTAATTCGCTGGATTACCGAGTAGCCATAAAGGAAGACTATCCGACTACTTGTTGCTACGTAGCCGCAGAAGATGAGGATGCCTGTATAGTAGATGACAAACGATAAATGGTCAGCCGTGATGTTTGTCAACATTGGACCGAGATAACTCAGGAGCTCATGCAAACGCAAAGTGAAAGGGCTCACTTCGCGTGCAGTTTGCACCTAGTACAATCTGAAGCTCTACTGGCGCACAGTAATGAACAAATAAAGACAGAGACAAACGAATGGTCATAATTCAACGCTAACGGATGGCCGTTCGTCCATGTCTTTTGTAGGCAGCAAAGCCAATGTTCATGCTTCGGAACGAGGTCAGAAACGGACGACATCAGCTGACTACGAACTGTTCTTGTGCTTCTGCGTCGACACAGGATCAACTCGAAATTTTCAAGAGAGACAGTCGTACAGACAAGACTCGGACGTACGTTCTGAATCAAGACGGAGCACAGCCGAATTTCTGAGAGCGACGGCGCTGGTCAGTTCTGTTATCGCTAATTGTATCGAGTCGGGACGCCGACACGACGAGGCGCACACAAGTGGAACGATCGTGTGGTATTCACCTTTCGCTAGCCAGTAGTGTCGCAGAGTTGTAGTTTCGGTCTGCCCCATTTCACGAACGAAAATGATGCGAGATCCATGACTTGGTGCTATCATCTTCTGTTGACATGGCCTACCACGTCAGGGTAACTATCAAGATCGACGGGGCACATGGGTGCATGATTCGTACAGGTTCAAGTATAGCGACGGCTCTGCTGCAGTCATTTTGGTACCGTCTGCAACGACTGCGCAGTCATCGCAACAACCGGAAGGTGTTTGGCAAGTTTCGTCATGTCCTACCACTCTGTTGCTCATACGTGCTCACATGTTAGGGAGATGACGTATCGGTTGGATGCTGTTCAGTCGGCATGATTATACAAAGGTAAGGCATCGATGTTGCAGCACGTTAAGTGTCGTGACAAGCAATTATCTTCGGTAAGTTTTCGGCGCAAGGACTCAGCAGTGTGTATGTGTAAGTACATTCTATCGGAACAAATTCAGTAGGTACCTCCTGCAAGCCAAACAGGGTGTCAAACCTTACAACCAGCCTTTCACACGAGTTGTGCGGGACGCCAGTGGACTCGTCACTTCAACTCATCCGGCTTGATCGAGTCATTCATCAAGGATTCGCGGGATGCAGCCTCGTCTGTGGTTCGCTCCGAGATGATCGGCAGTTTATAAAGTCGGATCCTGCCAGGCCAGGAGGTGGACAAACACACGCGCATCGCCACTTGGTCAGTCAGTCAATCGATTTCGCTACCCGGTCAGCGAAGCGTCTCTGGTCTGGTCTTGCCTGGACATGCATGACGACCAGACGTCTCTGGTTCACCAGCGGCCGCTAGAATCGGTGGACGCTGCTGTCTCATATCTCATCCCACTGCCTGACACCAAACGCTCGTCAAGACCTCGCCTGATGGCCACGATGCGCGACATCTGCCGACGAGATGCAAAGCCACGCGTCTAAAAAAGCCAAAAGAAAAGGCAGCAGACAGCAGCTGCTGCAACTGGGCAAGCGCTCGAGCTTTGTTTGTTGAAGGAGCTCCTCGATGCCAAGAACATGCTTGTTGACGGCAAATGCTAGAGACATCCATCTACCCCTGTCGTGAGGACTAAACTTCTTTGTCCTTTGGTCAGCAAGAGGTGGCACGTTTCGAAACATTGTCGATATGTGGCCATGGAGCCATGTCGTCAGGTAGAAAGAAAAGAACGGCGTGCCCTAGCGCGCGAAAAGGTTGAGCAGAACCGCCGTACCTACTTCGCTAGGAGTCAGAACACGACAGACAAACGCCCGATCGTCTAGTCAGACGAGGGGAAGAAGACACTGCGACCACGGTCGCAATAGGGACTTGCCATAGTCAATTTCGGTTCGAGGGAAGCAAACCAGCCGCGAGTTATCAAGTGCTTGCAAAAACGCCTGAGTTCTACTTCACACTTGGCTCAGATCAACAGCTTCTACAAACAAAACGCCGTCAGCACGTTCTAGTACATCAATACTGTCATCGGTGCAGAATAGCCAGCCAAAAATATGCACGTATATGTGAGGCGGGGGAAAGGAGGTGCAGCCATTTTCAGCCCAGGAAGTAGAAGGTTCGCTGAAAAGACCGGCGCCCAACAGTAGCCAACAACAGTCTTCGGCGCTGCTTGTTCCTCTGTCTCTCTATCGTTCTCGCTTCACGAGGTGCAGAAGTGCCAGGCTGTCTGTTGTAGCCCGAACGATCATAGCCAACAAAGGCGATCGGCTGTCTGCCCGTGCACTGTTCCTTACTCCCTGCCTGTTCAGGAGGCCCAATCGATGTTTCTCGATCCTCGAGGAGTGGCCGCCGTGGGATCGTGCGTCTCGTCTCCGCTCCTTCCGCGGCGCTGCCCGACGGCATTGGTCTCTTCACTTGAGAAATACACGCAAGCACGACACGTCGATCACAAAACGCCTCGACAGACGACGCTCAAGAGTCGAGCCACTTACTTCAGCAGCTATAGTTTCAACCTCTACTATCCCCCACGGTGACCTCATGGCCACCCCGTCTCCTTTACTGCAGCAGCAGCAGCAGCACCATCAGCTTTCCTCGGAATCGCCCAGAACAGACCGGACTCGAAGTACATCTGGGTTCACTCCCCCTCGGGTCGAACTTACGCAACGCGTGACAAGACACGTCTACGTCGGGAGTATGGAAGCGCCATCTGCTGCTTTTGGGATCGAGAAATCCGCTTCTGACTCGCTCACAGTCGCGGTCAAAGTGCGGGCGCTCACGCTGGACTCGGACCGGAACGGGGTGGGCGGTCTCCGCACGTGGCAAGAATGGCGCACGGTCCAGCGCCTTTTGGCTCTGGAACGGGACGAAGAGCTTTCGAGGACTTCAGGTAGAAGTGCTTCATTCCCCAGAGCTGTACGCAGTGTACTGGACGGTCGACGCCATATCATTCGCTACTATGCAACGAGGGTGGAAAGCGAGTCCTTCCGCCTCATCATGGAGTACTGTCCTGGCGGAGACTTGCTGTCTCAGTTGATGAGCAGAGGGGCGTTGGGTCCCACGCCATCGAAGAGGGTCCCGCAGCAAGAAGCACGGCTGTGGGTCCTGCAGCTCGCAAGAGGACTGCAATACCTCCATGCGAGTGGCATTGCGCACCGCGACCTCAGTCCCGAGAACATCCTCCTTAGCAAAACAGGAGACGTCAAGATTTGCAACTTTGGAGCGAGCACGACTCGAGCTGCAGAGCTCTGTCGGGATCGCGTGGCTGGCAATCTGCACTACACTGCGCCTGAGGCTGTAAGTGGGACTAGGTACGATGCCGTGCGTGCAGACGTGTGGTCACTAGGTGCCGTGTTTTTCGTCCTCTTGACGGGATCGCCCTTACTACGACTCCCGTTTCCCGAATGTCGGGGCTTTGAACTCGTGAAAACTGTTGGGTGTCGAGGAGTTCTCAAGCTGTGGGGGATGGACCGCCTCTTTTCAGCAGCGACGTTAGACCTCCTGACGAAAATGCTCATGGTGGATCCAGCCAAGCGACTGGCGAGTATGAAGGAGGTATTGGAACATCCGGCGATGCTCGCGACTGCATCTCACTCGGAGCAAAGTCTCAGTGCAGTCGGCAAGTAGCGGAATACTATAGAGGTTTTATAAGGAAAGTGGCGCGTGACGTAAGTGGTAAAGCGCTACTGAAAGCCAAGTACGAAGCTTGAGGGAAATATGTTATGGTGTGTAAGTGTCTAGGATTTAATAAAAGGCATTCAGACATTCGGTATAACGTCCTTGTGCGCGTTTGAGCTGTTCCGTTCTGACTACACCTGTCAGAGTCTCAGACTTGACAGAAGCTTGTCAAGCTGTCGGTTCTCGAGCCGAATAAACGTTAGGTCAAGGTTACGTATTATTTACATCCGTCTCCGATATGATGGACGCATTCATCAGTGCTGTGAAGGACGGTAGTTTGCGATATCTGACGAACTGGACGAAGCTTGTCCGTCAGACATGCACAACTCATGTCGTCGCATCTGGTTTTTGAGGACAGCCTGGGTGCGAAGAAACCATATTCTGTCTACGCGACACACGGTCTGTTGTTGATCCGAAGCTTTGTGGATATAGAGCCCAGTTTGAGAAACAAGGAAGCGTCGGTTCAACTTGAGACAGCACAAAACACGTCCAATACTGAGTAAATTGTGCACTGCTGGAGTTAATACAAGTTCGAGCTGATCCGTACAGTACCGGCGGGCCACTTGTATTTTACCGTGCGCGTACGATCTAAAGTGCGTTTGACAAAGCCTTTTAGGTACCTTTTTCATAGTAGAAAGAGATGGATCAGTTTTGAGCACATTTGAAGGCAGCCAATGTTGTACTTCGCCGATTGTGCCGTGCACCTGGTCCTTCCAAACTGATCGTAGCTATAAACTGTGACAAGCGAATTGCTTTGCAAGATTTGATAAAATCCAGTACTCGGCAAAATCCGATAACATTGTTACCTCGCGCGTTTTGTCAACAAATAATTCGATAAAATCTACTACTGACTATGAGTCGGTCTTCATACTGCAGCGATAGCAATTGCTCGACCACGAATGTCTCGTCGGGAATGTAAGCAAAGTCGCAAAGACATCTTCGTGTGTAGGAAAGAATCGATAATCTAAAAGGTAATGGCTGCTATGCTATGCTGAACCACGTAAAATAAGTCGCCGATCGATGCATCAGATGTGTAGTGCCATCCAAAAGCAGCAGTTGACTCTGCACCATTTTTCTTCCTGCTTAAGGTTCTTTTCCTATCCGCATACGAAGACCTAGGAGGCGTTGCTCGTGACCAAATTAAGGACAGATTGTCGTCACTCGTGTATGTTAGTGAGCCCTCGTACACGCCCGCCTTCAAGGGTAGACCACTGGCTTCTTGTGTCTATTGTACGAAGTGGTGATGTCATTCGTTGTTTTGCATATCAAATGAAAAAAGGGGTTGCTCGATTCAATCACCATGTGAAAAACGAAAAGGTCTCTTTACGTGATCATCAATGGCCAAGTGATGTCGCACATCATCACAACAGTACGAGCAAGTAGGTCGCTTTTAGACTGCTGTACTTGTAGGTCGATGGATAAAGAACCTTGAACAGAGAATGACGGGTGGGTCACTGATACAAAATTTGCCGCTGCCAGTTTCAAGCTTTGACTGAGCATTGTTGTATTCTGATCAGGATCGATTTGAACGTTCAAGAGTCAGTTAAGGCTTGGATCCTTCTCTACCAAGCAACATCTTTGAGGACGATGACTATGACTCGTAACTGTACAGTATGCAGCACAAGCCAGACCCTCTTTACTACCTGCAATAAAGAAATCAAACTACTGACAACGCTCATGCGCGTTCATTTATCGCGGCGTGAGGCCGTCAAAAGTCTACAACCTCATACTATGTAATTCGCATCCTCTCGACTGATCCAAGGTGTTGTGAGGTGATTATTGCAGAAGGTGCAAGTACTTTTTGGTGATATGAGAACGGTATTTGCCGCTACAGCCAACCACGTCAATACTTCGTACTCGCACGTTTGGCCCAAAGCGCGCAGGCGATCCTAGGTCAAAATCGCCTCGTCTCTGTGGTACAACAGCCAAGAAGAAGCGCCCGTGACGTTCAAGCACTTCTTCATTATTTTCTTTCGGCCGCATGCCTCAAGCACTCCACAAGACTTCCATTGATGTAGACTCGGCCAAAGATTAGAATCTACCTATCACAAATTTACCGACTTGCAGCTCCTGATTAATCTGAAAAGAATTTGGCATGCACGTCTCATGTAGAGCCGTTTAAAAATGTTCTCGGCTTTACAGCACACAAGCAATCTTGACCCGGATAACGGGCTCTCTTGGACAGCTCCTTCATAGCGTACAGTTTTGGGACTTTATAGCACACGAAGTCCGGTACGACGCCTACAACGGGTTCAGTACGCCAGTTTACCATCGGGTCGACTTACCTCTTTGGACCTTTTGTTTGAAGGCCAGTAACGGTGCTTCATTTACAGGACTAAAATGAGCAACTTTTGAGCGGCGGGCGCAAATTTCTGTGCCACACAACTAGCAAAAGCGAAACTTCCAAAAAAAAACGCCCTGTTTCCATCATTGTTGTGATTGCGAAAATAGGACCTAAGATATTGGCTAAATGACTTGGTCGAAAAGTGCTGTAACGGGGTCACACTAGTCATTGGCTAAATCGGTTGAAGATCTTCCATATGTAATATGGGAGACAAGTGTGGCCTTCAATTTAAATCAATGGAGAATACCGATTAGTCGGTATTCCTTGAGTTACGGTACTTACCGTGGGAGAAATTGGTACCGTCATCATTTGATGACTGAGTGTTGTGCCAACCATCCATTCAGTTCGAATACTATTATTTGTATTGGTTCTAGTTTAGCCTAATATCGGGTGCGTAAAGTAGCATTTTCCTTGAGATACTATTTATATAAATTCAGTTCTTGTTTTGAGCAGAAGCCCGTAAACATCCACCCTTTCGCACGTTGCGCTTGACGGTTCCTTAGAGCTTTCGAGGTATTGAGAGTCCTTAGACTCCTGTATTCCCCTCTGCACATTGTGCGTGTAGTTCCTTAGAACTACAGTAGTCTGATCTAATAGCTCATAGAGTCCGCGCTAAGTTCCGTAGAACCAGCCGACTCTTTAACTTGATATATTAGTTCCTTGGATCTAATCGGCGACTAGCCCTCAATACTAATTGGCTGTTAGCCGTAAGCCTCTGGCTTAACCCGTAAAGTCTCCCTCTGACTTTAAGGCTGTGGTAGCTCCGCTACATCAAGTGACCTGCCGCGATCGTCTAAATCGGTGTCCACGACTGCATGAGCAAATTGCATGGCAAGGCAGTTCCCGATTGCTGGTCCGACCACTGATTTTAGTATAGGTTGTTGTTCCATCTCGACCAGCATTCCCGTAGTCTTAGCTGACCGGGCTCCTATCTGCAAAGCCACTGTTTGCTACTTCTTCATACCCTTGGCCAGCTCACGGAACGATTTTCGCTCGTTACGCTTCAAAGTTATGAAGACTGGTAACGGAAACCAGGGCGGGTACACGTACCGACCGACCGTTTTTTTTTGCGACATAAAACCCCAGAGATTAGGATCCTGTTCGAGGCATTATCCCCAGTTTATTAACCGCTTGGGTCTCTGCTGTTCGATAAATTAACGGAGGCAAAATGTTCGTATCCTCGCGAGTTGACTTTGTATCCCCTTCTGTCTGCTGCTGTCAACGTATCCTCGTCCATTGCGTGATGACCTTGTACGATAGTGCGAGGCCAGGACAAAATGTTGCGGAAAGCCTTCTGTTAGAGCGAAACTTTTAAGAAAGATGAGTTGAGCAAGGTTGTTAATCAGCGGTTTCGAAGATGGATGCAACCGCTCGAGTAACCGGCAATCTGACATCATTAAGGCGATCTGACGTAGTTTAAATAAAAAAACAAAAGTGTATAGTCTTGTTCATGTGATCGTATCCGATCGTCTTAGTCCGGCTCAGCATTAGATAAAGATCAGGAAGATTGATTTGCACTATCTCCGCAGATTTTTAGGATTGTCTTGATAATGACCTTTGTAATTTGCCGACTCAACTTGATATCGCGAGCACAATATAAATGCAACACTAAATTTCCTTCGAGTCGGGCATGAATAGTAGTTTACAATTGAAGCAGTTGTTCACACTTCAGAAATTGCTGGATAAAGTCAGACCTGCACCGGCATGCCACCGTACCTTCAAACTAGCTCCGGAAAAATCAAAGCATTTGTCATCGGCGCCTTATCGAACTTGATGCTGCACTGCACAAGCAGCCGGCATCGCATGGAGTGATCTAAAGCGCAAATTTTTTATTTTGATTAAACATGCGAGTCGAGCATGAATTCCTCAGAACTTTGAGTTGGGGTCAAGACTCATGGCTTTTTCTCACTTGACGATGTTGCTCTTGTACGAACCATTCGAGCTATAAGTACAAAATCGAAGCTCAAGCCCACTTGTGTTGTCTTGAGACGAGCCTGAAATATGCTGTAAAATGCTCACCTTGTTGTAACAAATCCGTGCTGTATCGTAGTCGCCATATTCTGCCCTTCTGATAAAGTTCTTTTATTCCGCACGAAGTCTTGTCCAAAACCTACTAAGGGTGCAGCTTCCTCAGCTTTAACTTAACTAGCTCTTCTTCGCCGCTAGAAAAGCCTCCGTCTGGATCAACATTTCATTAAAAGACTCAGAAATATTGTTTTTATTGTGGTACGCCGATATTTACTTGGCCTTTATTCAGTGACTCAGTCATGTCCTCAACCTTCGCCACAGATAGCTCGGCCTATAATACAGCACGCTGGCTCGGGTGCAATTCAAAAAATTGGAAGTGAAGCTGACTTCACTGCACTTCCCCTGCTTGGTGTATCCTGGACCTCACCCGCTTTCACCTTATAGGAAGTACTTCCCCTCTTAGACAGGGAATTCAGGGTCCCAGCTGTCGACATGAAGAGGATCTGAAGAGTCAAAAATTCCGGATTGCTCCGCAGATAGCCAGTTAGTCGCCGATAGATCTTCAGATAACAGTTCTTTGCTACTCTCCCCCACTTGTGAAGCTTCATCGGCAACTTTGCATGATCCCGTGTGCGAG